TATACAACATATCCATATTTCCCTCACTGCACCAATCACCAAGTGTCAAGTACCGAAACCTGAAACTCGACACCCAGTACACAAATCACCAAGTGCTGAGTGCTGAGTGCCTGAGGCCCAAAGCCCGATGTCCAAAGCCCGAAACCCGAAAATATGTATACAACATATCCATATTTCCCTCACTGCACCAATCACCAAGTGTCAAGTACCGAAACCCGAAACTCGACACCCGGTACACAAATCACCAAGTGCTGAGTGCCAAGTGCCGAGGCCCAATGTCCGAAGCCCGAAACCTGAAGCCTGAAACCCGAAAATATGTATACAACATATCCATATTCCACTCATTGCACAAATCACCGAGTGTTGAGTGCAAAAAACACGAAACTTGAGACCCGGTACACAAATCACCAAGTGCCGAGTGCCGAGTGCCGAAGCCTGAAGCCCAAAACCCGAAGCCTGAAACCCAAAAATATGTATACAACATATCCATATTTCACTCATTGCACAAATCACCGAGTGTCAAGTGCCAAAACCCGAAACTCGAGATATTGGTACACAAATCACCAAGTGCTGAGTGCTGAATGCCGATGCTGAAACCCAAAGCCTGAAACCCAAAATATGTATACAACATATCCATATTTCCCTCACTGCACAAATCACCGAGTGTCGAGTACCAAAACCCAAAACTTGACACCCGGTACACGTGACTACAACTGGACATGAATTCTGTATTTGTATGTATTATCCATTGATGTAGGGTTCAAATAACTTGGGAATTGTATTGACTACCAAGGTCGGGACTCGGGACTCGCTAGTCAATATAGGAAAATGATAATGAAAAAATGAAAATTATTATTATGCTTAACTTTCTTAATGAAGGTTGTAGTCCGAGTCTATGTGAGTGTATTGGTGGTCCTACCAAGTATTGGTACTCAGTGTAGTGATGGTTGCGGTGCTGGGCTCAGAACCACTGATTTTCATACTCATGTCATTCTTGTCAATTGGAGATTATTTGAAGACTATGTTAAATGTTAGTCAGTGTCGAGTATGATAATGAATGTAGTCATACCTCAGTCTGAGAACAAATAGACTGAGGTAGGATGATGCAGGTATGAGGATTATATATTTGTCTGGCATGTTAGCAATGATGTAAAGATGAGGCGTGCATTTGTACATGTGTGCAGTAAGTGAGCATACAGATAAAAGAATGAATATTAATAGTGAGACTTGCACATTATGTTGAGATATCCAACATGACAAGCCTGTGATGGGATCAGAGACCTGGAATAACACCCATATATGTCCATTATAATAGCCCTAATAGTTTAGAAAGATACATGAAGGATTGATGTAATGACAGGCATATGTGTGAAATGTGACAATAGACATATTTTTACAAAGTCGCATTTATAGATGATTCAGGCCAAATATTTCATTAAAATATGTAGGATAGATTGTAAACTACCTAAGGAACCCATACTGCCTACTGCCTTGAGGGTAGGGGGTGGGTAGAAGGGATATAGTGAAAACATGAGTTGACTCAGCATTAAAGTCCTATTATTGCTTCACTGACCATTTTCAATGCTTTGGGTCTTTGAAGTTTCCCACACTCCATTTCTTATCTATTTCACTTCCTCAGTACTCAATTCTTGGTGGATTTGTCCGTAAATTTATGTCTATGATACTTAATATATTTTAAATGTACTCCAGGTTTCTGATCATGAAGATTCAATGTTTTGAAGGTATGGGCCCCTTATCAGGAGAAATGGCAAGTATGCACACTAGCTCACAAACTCCAGCCTATTGTGAGCTGATCTTGGTCATAAAAGGCAATAATATAAGCTATGCTCATTATATATTAAAAGGTTGGATCATGGATGCAAGGGCAAGATACTGAAAATCGTGAAAAATGTCAAAAGTGCAATGGTCTAGCTTACCTGTAATAATGCTGTCTGTAATATTCAATAATGCGAAAACAAGTAAATATGCACCAGTGGGGATAGATACGACTAGACAGGACATAGGAAGGATGAGTCCGATGCAAAAATGTTGGGTCCGAAACTTTCAGGCCGGGGTCAGGTGTCGGGATGGATTGGAATGTCAGGGATGTGTCAGACAAATACTGTTTAATGTGAGTATCAAAAACACGGGTTTTGAGCCCAGTGCCGTGACTATCATTACACCAGGTACTGAGTATCAGAACCAAGTACTGAGTACTGATTTCTAAGTACCAAGTACCAAGTAATGAAATAACCAAAAGACTTGGACTACAACTTTCATTTTTCATTCTCGCCAACATTTTAGATTTCTTTAGCTTATATCTTGGTCAAATGATAACCGATGGACAAGAAAAGACTACCAATACACTCACCTAGACTCGGACAACAACTTCCATGTTTTCATTATCTTTGCCTATTGCACACCGGGTTTTGAGTTTCAGGTTTTGGCACTCAACACTCAGTGATTTGTGCAATGAGTAAAAAATGGAAATATTGCATACATGTTTTTGGGTTTCAGGCTTCGAAATTTGGGCTTCAGATGTCAGGTTTTGGGCCTTGGCACTTGGCACTCTGCACTTGGTGATTTGTGTACCGGGTCTCAAGTTTCGGGTTTTGGTACTCAACACTCAGTGAGTTGTGCAATGAGGGAAAAATGGATATGTTGCATACATATTATCAGGTTTCAGGCTTTGGGTTTTGGGCTTCGTATGTCAGGTTTTGGGCCTTGGACATCGGAGCTCAGGCCTCAGCACTCAGCACTTGATGATTTGTGTACCGGGTGTCGAGTTTTGGGTTTCGGTACTTGACACTCCATGATTTGTGCAATAAGGGAAATATGGATATGTTGTATACATATTTTCGGGTTTCAGGCTTCGGGTTTCGGGCTTCGGATGTTGGGTTTCGGGCATCGGCATTCGGCACTCAGCACTTGGTGATTTGTGTACTGTATCTCAAGTTTCGGGTTTTGGCACTCGACACTCAGTGATTTGTGCAATGAGTGAAATATGGATATGTTGTATACATATTTTCGGGTTTCAGGCTTTGGGTTTCAGGCTTCGGACATCAGGCTTCAGGCCTCGGCACTCGGCACTTGCACTCGGCACTTGGTGATTTGTGTACCAGGTGTCGAGTTTCGGGTTTTGGTACTCGACACTTGGTGATTGGTGCAGTGAGGGAAATATGGATATGTTGTATACATATTTTCAGGTTTCGGGCTTCGGACATCGGGCTTTGGGCCTCGGCACTCAGCACTCGGCACTTGGTGATTTGTGTACCGGGTGTCAAGTTTCGGGTTTCAGTACTTGACACTTGGTCATTGGTGCAGTGAGGAAAATATTGATATGTTATATACATATTTTCGGGCGTCAGGTTTCGGGCTTCAAACATCGGGGTTTGGGCCTTGGCACTTGGCACTTGGCACTTGGTGATTTTTGTACCGTACTTTGAGTTTCGGGTTTTGGCACTCGACACTCAGTGATTTGTGCAATGAGTGAAATATTGATATGTTGTATACATATTTTCGGGGTTTGGGGTTCAGACATCGGGGCGCGGGCCTTGGCACTCGGCACTTGGTGATTTGTGTACCAGGTGTCAAGTCTCGGGTTTCGGTACTCGACACCCGGTGATTTGTGCAGTGAGGGAAATATGGATATGTTGTATACATATTTTTGGATTTCAGGCTTCGGGTTTCGGGCTTCAGACATCAGGGTGTGGGCCTCGGCACTCGGCACTTGGTGGGGTGTTCGGGTGTCTGGAATGGATGTTGCACAATGGAATTCGGTTTTTGGCATCTGGGACTCGGTAATCTGTGAATGTCAGACAGATATCTCACTACCTCGGCCCACCTGTCTATATAACATCCCCCTCCATCAGCCCACCCGTCTATATAACATCCTCCTCCATCGGCCCACCCGTCTATATAATGAATATTCCACCACTCCGTCGGCCCATCCGTCTACAAAATAATTCCAGTATGTCGGCCCACCCGTCTATATAATGAATATTCCACCACTCCATCGGCCCATCCGTCTACAAAATAATTCCAGTATGTCGGCCCACCTGTCTATACAATAAACCCTTACATTGGCCCACCCATCTATATAATACATATTCCACCACTCCCTCGGCCCACCCATGTACAAAATACTTCCTGTACCTCAGCCCACCCATCTATACAATAAACCATTACATCGGCCCACCCGACATCTTTGAGGATATATATAATATCAGCATAGATGGGCCCACCCGTCTCCATTGGAAATAATATCCCTCCTGGCCCATCCTGTCAACATCGGGGATATACATAACATCGGCCCATAGTCCTGCTGGCCCGTCTTATACGGGATATTATGTAGGTCGGGTGACCCGTATAATATGGAATTTGTCACTGAAGGGGCTCGTTGGACAGATTCACATAGCAACAGTCAAAGAAGCCTGCCCTGAAGGTCAACTGGAGGCCTCAAATAGGCATGAATCGGACAGACATTGGTGTGTTTGGAGCACTGGAGTGGCTTCCCAAGGCGCAAAATAGGCAAAAACGGACAAGGAAAACGCAAAATTTGGGCCTCAAATAGGCAAATTTTCGGCCGAACATCATAGGGAGCTTCCGGGGGCCTGGACTTGTGTTGTCAACGCCAACGATTACCTAAACCAGCATGACCGGCATCTGTCAAATTTCAAACTCCTCGCTCGTCCTGCCAAATTCCTCCGAGATCGGCCACGTCAAACACTTAACATCTCAAAGACGTAGTCCAGACTGGTTACGAGTCTAGGACGAGGCAACTTTGATGTCTTCATATTAGGAATGTCGTTCATATTAGCTCAGAATCTTGCCACACGGCAAAACGGACCCCAAGTATTTGTAGTTCGCAGGTTAACCTCAAATCGATTTAAATTCCAACATGATCACCTGCGGGTGACCCGTACCACCTGCGGGTTGACCCGCACCCGTGATGTTCTGACCCGGCAGGCCTCTGAAAGTTACTAGTACGTTCTCCCTCTATGACGTCTCCCGCTGAAACAATTGTCAGCCCAGCAGAAACTCAGCCTACTCCATCACGGTCGTCGCTTGTCCCAGTGCAGACGGGTCTGACATTCTCGAAAGACTTCGGATGCCTTCCTATTCCGAGACGACTTCGTTATGACCCTGATAAGCCTTTCTACTTCGGAATGTTGCTCAATGTATCTTTCGGAATAGGCAGTACTTTAGGTAAGCCCTGACACCAGGACAATCATGAATGAGTGTTTAATTTCAACGCAGTCTTTGCCAACCTATATTATTGTCAGCCAATTCTAAGTACGTTAGCCTCGAATTGTCTATGTATTGTATTAACGTGCATGCCTCAAAGTTCAACTATCTGCCTCTTTCCATGTCACGTATGATGAGGTGGCAAGGTATGAATAGCCACAAGGCTAACTGAGATCGGCGAATCTAACATTCGCACAGGATACCATCGCTGGTTCAAGCTGGGTAAGTTTCCACAATACTCCCCAATGGCTACTCTTGACAGTGGATAAGGTTTGGCATCGCCCTCCTATTCATAACGCCACTCGGTGACATCCTTCGCCGGCGTCAGTTGATATTGCTCTTGGTGATGCTTTCAACTACCTTAACAATAGGACTTGCCATCACAAAAAACCTCCTAGTGTTCGAGATAATCTCGTTTCTGATTGGGTTGACGTCTGTCACTCCTCAAATTTTCGTGCCACTAGCCGCTGATCTCGCTCCTCCTGCCCGTCGTGGATCAGCTATCTCGATTGTTCAGTCAGGTCTTATGCTTGGCGTTCTCATCGGGCGCGTACTGTCTGGCATAGTGGCCAATTTTACGAGTTGGCGGTTTGTGTACTGTATGTCTATCGGCATTCAGAGTATTGTCCTGGGTGGTGCATACATGTTACTTCCGGACTATCCAGTGAAGAACCGTGATTTGTCCTATCTTGGGATATTTCGTTCCATGGCGAAATATGTCGTCACCGAACCTCTCGTCGGCCAGATCATGTTAACGAACTGGGCTGGCAGTGCATGCTACACCAATTGGTGGGTGACCCTCACGTTCCTACTCGGTGAACCGCCATATTCCTACTCGACGTCAGTGAACCTGTCTTATTATCACTCATTCGCTGATGCCGTCGTGTCAGCATGATCATCGGCTTATTTGGCCTCGTTGGGATGTTGGGTGTAATTATCGTACCATTCTTTGGCCGTCTGCTCGATCGGCTTGCGCCATGGTGGTCCGCTGTTGTTTCGACTATGCTTCTTTTGGTGTTCCAAGCAGTACAAACTGGGGCGGGAGGCATAAACATCGCCGCGGTCATCATCGCTTGCCTTGGATTAGATATGTTCCGTCAAGTTCAATCCATATCACTCTATACACTCATGTTTAGGTATAATATCATGCCAGCATGTCTCGCAGTTCTGCCATACTAATCGATAATAAATAGCATTTCGGAGACTGCGCGCTCGCGTTTGAACGCACTGATGGTCATATCAGTGCGTCAATTCCCGTTTTCCGTTATGAGCTGGCTTATCAGATAGTCGATGGACTTGCAGGTTTTTCTGGGTCAAGTTACGGGAACGTCCGTCGGGACTGACGTTTTTGTTGGATATGGCTGGCGTGCAAATTCTGCGCTTTTCATGGCCATGTTTGTCTTCCAGCTCGCTGTACTTTCCCTTAGAGGTCCTCGTTGTCCCAGAAATCGCTGGTTTGGTTATGAAGGCGGGCTGGGATTATGGAAGGTGGTTGCCATCTAATCAGTCCCAACTCATTGCGAGTGACGATCCTGGGAACGCAGGATGCGGTCACCTGGTTGTAGTGTGCAGTGAGAAAGGGGAGGCCAAGGGAGGTATCGAGGGGCTCCGTTAGTCTGGAAATTTCTCGAACCGAAACTTGATACTCGTACTGAACATATTATATGATACTGCTAGAAGCATAGAGGCTGGAAAACGCAATACTTGATGGGTCTGATCATGCATACCAGCAGTTCACTGACTTCATACAGTTGTTCTATGGGAAATCACTGACCCCGGAACGGTCCCTCGCTGAAAGCTGCTGCTCATGTCCTTGTGGAATGGGTCACGCAGTACATGGTGGGACAAACGGTCCCACGACAATGCATGTGCATGTGCGTGGCGTCAGTCTTCGACGAATCCAATCGTGAAGGTTTAACCATCGTCACACCTGCACTCATGCATATCGCACTGATGAGAACTGCAGTCATATTTTTGTCAGAATTGTAAGTTGTGTTTTACAGGAACTAACAAGTTACGCTTTCGGCTAAGAACAAGCTTCCAGGAAATTGTGAGGCCGCTAGAGCTGCGGTACGCGGTGAAAAGAGTTGACTCATGACTAATCTGAGAGTTTCCAAATTTGGCCACACTAAATATAAGTATACCGGCAGAATAATTACTGGTTCTTGTAAGTTGAAGCTCACCATGCATGAGAATAGTACTTCCGACTTTTGAAGCATTTGAACCCTGAGCCAGGCCTCAGGCCTCCGGATTCAGTGCTTCGTAAAGTGTACTGGTGCACGCAGAGCGTTGACGAGGCTCCAGTCTGACGGGTTTCAAGACGAGGCTTGTTGAAGGGGCAGAGCTCACCATGCCGCAGCTGGTTCAAGTTAAATCCGTGAGAGTAAGCACTGACTTGTCATACTTACCAATGCCAAAGACGGACTTCCGTCTTATTTACGTACGGTGAGTTGCTGACTGTTGCCGCTGATCAAAGGCAGAGATACTACCTTTTTGATAGAACATCGCGACCAGTTTATAAGCTCAAGGTCATGTGTATGCATGGACGAGCAGCTGTGTGCTTTCTTTCGTCGATTTCTCGGCCGTTCGAGCTCTGTGCTTTACATTCAGGTGCGTACATTCTTTGTAGTTTTTTTTTTGAATTTGCTAAACTCACTTTTGCACCTTCCATGCACTCCATATAGCTTAGCCATTGCAGTATCACTCCCATTGCTTCACGTTATCCTGTGTATCTTGATAGGTATCGCAGTCCTCGTGACCATCGCTGACACTCACTCTCTTCAATGTCTCCCTTCAGCACTGAGAAGCTAGGGGCGCATTGCGAATCGCGCGAAGCAACTGCCGAAGATGTTACAGCGTCCAAAGAAGAGAGTTGGCCCACAAAAGACTTTGGTCTTATAACGATCCCGAAAAGGCTCCGATACAATCCCATGAAACCTTTTCACTTTGGCATCTTGCTTAACGCATCATTCGGATTTGCTAGCACATTCAGTACGGACTTCCTGGTAGACTGTGAATGAATACTAATAACAAGACAGCTGTCGCTAACTTGTATTATTGTCAACCGCTATTGAGTATGTTGTTGTGGAAAGTGGCTGGCTGCGGGCGTCTCTAATCATGAAATTCGTAGTCGAGTTTTCAAAATCATTCGATGTAACGTATGAAGAGGTTTCACGGTATGTTGTTTCGTCCGTGTCAATGAATCTGGGCTAATAGTAAGCATAATTCGATCATCAAGTATCCCCACCCTCGTTCAAGCAGGGTAAATAAACTTAACGGTTTCCAATGGAACTTGAACGTTCACGACTTATATCGTGGTTCAGGTACTTAGTGGGATTACTTCTGATATCCCCCCTCGGCGACCTTGTTCGACGCAGGCAACTGGTGTTACTGCTGGTTGCGGCATCTACTACCCTGACGATAGGTTTGGCCGTGACCAATAATTTCCAGGTCTTCGAGGCCTTGTCCTTCTTGGTTGGCGTTGTAACCGTCACTCCCCAAATCTTGATGCCTCTAGCTGCAGATCTGGCTTCACCCGAACGCAGAGCATCTGCATTGTCTGTGGTACTCTCGGGTCTCATGCTAGGCATCTTGATCGCTCGTGTCTTGGCTGGTGTCATAGGCAATTTCACAACCTGGCGTGTAGTTTACTATATGTCAATCGGTGTCCAGTTACTCGTTCTCGTCGGTGCTTACCTCATGCTTCCTGACTATCCATCCAAAAACCATGACTTGACCTACATTCGAATCCTACTTTCGATGGCCAAGTATGCGGTAACGGAGCCACTTGTGATACAGGTGTCCCTTATAAATATGGCATCCAGCGCATGTTTTACCAGTTTTTGGGTCACTCTCACCTTCCTTCTCGGAGGTTCACCCTATTACTACTCCACGTGAGCACACATATTTTGACTTTCCACCGCCCGAATTTGACCATTTCCAGTCTCATAATTGGTCTCTTTGGCCTCGTTGGCATGCTAGGCGTGCTTATCGGACCTTTCGCAGGACGTCTCATCGATAGGCTGGTTCCTTGGTATGCAACTTTGGTAGCCACTAGCTTGCTCCTGGTTTCCCAAGCTGTACAGACTGCGGGAGGTGGGATCAATGTTTCAGCTGTCATCATCGCATGCTTTGGGCTCGATGTTGGGCGTCAGTCCCAGCAAGTGTCCATGACCAGTCGGGTCCTGAGGTAAACATATTTATTTTTCCATGAAAGATACTGTTGTTGACTTACAACAATCGTACCACAGCATGGCTCCCGAAGCTGGTGCGCGCTTAAACGCCATTCTCATTCTATCAGTGAGTTTGATAGTGTGATATGAATCGAAGTGTTGTTAAGCAAGACGTCCCAGGTGTTTGTCGGGCAGGTGATGGGCACATCTGTTGGCACCCAAGTATTCGTGCAACACGGATGGAGAGCGTGTTCATTATTGATGCTGGCGTTGCAAGCTTTCCAAATTCTAGTTTTATTGCTTCGCGGTCCACATTGTCCTCGAAAACGTTGGTTTGGCTATGAAGGAGGACTCGAGGCGCGCCGACGGGTCGTTTCGGAGAGGGAGAAGTTACGGAATAGCGAGGGAAAAAAAGTGGAACATGATCCAGAGTCTGGTCCAGAGCCAGGACTGGAGGCGCAGATTGAGGCACCGATACAAAATGGTGAAGGCCTGCAGTCCGATACATCCGAGTCATAGATACCGAAGTAATGGAGTTATTGTCACTCGACATTATTTAGCATGGATAATTTGGATTGGTGTTTTTTTGGGACTGGCTTATAGTTGCAAATGCACGTCCAAGCTGGATATGTGTTGAATTCCCCAGAGATGTTTCATGCGTGAGTGGCGGCCGCGGGATATTCCCCAGATCGACTGCCAATCAGAGAAAAAAAGCGCAATCGCATCTGTGGTTGGAACCGATTTGGAGGTGTCGAAGGTACGACATGAGGCAAGTCGGGATTTCGTACAAATACTTATCATCGCGGAGCCAAAAAAAAACCAGTAGTTCTGACTCGGAGCATTGTACGGTGATGTACAGGAATGGTTAAAAAAGTACGAGAATAGCCGCAAAGATGTGATGCCCGTCTGGAATACTCCACAGTACTTGTTTTGTGGGGCAGGACTTCCTTGCGGGAGAAGAAACCCCATTTGACAGATAAAGGCTTCTCGTGTACCATGCCGATAAATCCCAAAGGCGACTTCATTGAACGCCATCACTGAGACAACGGTTACGCCGCACTTGCTGCGGGTACCTGCATTCCAAGTGTATGGACCCATAAGGGAGAATGATACATTGTGGCTGGAGGTGGCAACTTAATTTGAATAAAGATATTTTACCTTGGTTCGCACACCTTCCGCGGCAGATGATGTTCCAAGGATGCGCGGAAAGGGAAATCGGGACAAGACGTAAAACGATGCATACGTGTGCTGAGAGAGAGAAAAGGGGAACGAAGTCAGCGAACCCTGCAGCATGCATGCAGGGGTTATCATGTCGAAAGATGATCAAGCACAATACAGCTTCATGCTTGGATGCGACGGTCGCTGAAAAAAAATTTGTCAACGGAACGTTCGATAATAAATTCTGATTGCAATTTGCTCACTTCCTCGGGCCACCTTCAAGGCGAACTGAGTGTAACTTAGATTGTGTGCGCATTCGATCAAGAGAACATCTTCGGAACACATTAGTAACACTTAAAGTGCGCACCTGTATGCACATGGTCGAACACATATTGCATGGTCAAGCACGTAAGGTGTTGGTTTGGGGTCGCAATACTAAAGTAGTGAATCCCTGAGGTAAAATTAGGCACGTCGAATTAATGAAACCTAATCTTCCTCCAATGAAGTTCCAGCCTGTCTGAACCGTCTACGAAACTTCAATCGGCGGACCAGCTATAAATTTGTGGCTTACCTGATCCCAAGCATGAGAGCTTGTTTTAAGCTTCCTACTAGTACTAGTAGTATTAGTTCAGAACCACGTTTGAAAGTTGTTCGTGGAGTTAAGTGGTCCAGGCCCAGGTCGTGTCAGTACTAGTGTATTCCGTTTATCTCAAAAATGCAAGAACCAGCTTTACCAAAGTTCTAGTCTCTCTGGTCAGACGATTATTATTATGTAATAATAAGAAGGTGTGAATTTGTCAGCCAGCAAATCAAACGCAACTAGTAACACGCAACGCATTGCACTGGTATGTCCGGCAAAACAGAAAGTGAAGGTGAGTCTTTAGGGTTTTTTTATATAGGAAATAGGATCTCATCTGTGGAGCCTCTACAGTGAAACCGGATACGGTCCTCCGTATCACTCCCATAGACGTGGATGCTACCTTGGAGCTCCGTCAGTCGGTTTTGTGGCCAAGTCTTTCAATCGCAGATGTTCTTCTCGCTGAAGATAACAGCGGTCTTCATTTTGGAGCCTTCGTGCCACAGCACGACAAGCCCGTTGCCGTCATCTCGTTATTTGACGAACCCTTACCGGAACAACACATTGTAAGATGTGGGAATGACTGCCCTTCTCAGACCAAGGCTGCGCGCTTTCGTAAATTTGCCTGCGATCTGATGCACCAGAATCAAGGCATAGGGTCACAGTTGCTTCAACACGCGGCTGAAGCAGCCCGATCGACGTTGGGTGCAAGCACCATTTGGTGTGATGCCCGGACATCCACCAGTGCCTGGTATAAGAAACGTGGAATGATCGAATTTGGTGATCCGTTCTACAAGGGAGATGTGATGTATATCCGGATGAAGATGGCCTTGGATGCAGATACTTGCAAGACAAGTGCGTGTAACGGCATTTAGATGAGCCACTATGCCGGGCCGTGACGAAATGATAAGCATGATTTGGTACGCCGTGTTCTCCGCATCGCTATACAGGTGATGAACTCACGGGGATAACCATTGTCAGAACGTTTTCATTCGTGATAACGATAACTGGCACCCAGCATATTGCGTTCCTTGTATGTATCTTTGTCTTTTTGTGACCCACAGAGGCACAGCATAGACCCAAGTTTCCCTTCGATGATCATCTCGTAAACCGGATCAAACTTGGCCTTCTGGCTACCTCCGCCGTGTAATGTTTGGAAGATGTTACCTCATTTTATTTAGCTCACCCAGACAACAGGAAAGATACTGAAGAGCTCCACAGTGTCTCGCGCTAAGCATTTCTATAAGTTTTTGTGCGTCAGAAGATATCTCTATTTTTGGGCGACCTGGCGGACCGCTAAGCTTTTATAGGCAAAGCGAATGAGCCACCCCAACTTTCAGGTATACTGCGCCTGTAATTCGCGCGGGCTCACTGCCAAGGCTGTGATAATGCTCAGCATTCCTGACTATTTTCGGCACGACCCTGGAGATTCTAGCTCTGAAGGTGCTGCATTCGGCGAGCAACGTGTTGAACCCAAGTAAGCATTCGCCGTTGCCATGAGGTGTCTGATCGACTATCTTATACAATACCAGACCGCAATCAAGCTGATCTAAGCAAGCAATGTTAGCAACCCAGGGCCACTCTCATACGATGTCGGTATCCAACACGTGTGATTTCCGTAAGGAAAGATCGACCATTCCTCGTCTATACACCGGGGGAGACACGGAGAACCTAGTGCTAGGTTAGCTGCTAGTTCGGATCAAAATACATAAAAAAGAACTAGTGTCAGTAGTTGCCCTGAGTATTCGTTCTCTTTTGCCTGTGCGGCTTTTGTATTCGCGATAAACGGGTGTCAGTCGGCTGTGCCGCTAAGGGACGTCACTTGCACTTAATATCACAAACTCAGATTGTTGACGGGGGCTGAATCCTGATATCTATCCTGCCGTTTGTTTCCTTATGCGTCAGTGCAATCTCGATCTTTCCGACAGAGCGTCAGATGATAATTGTGTTTTGTGTAAAGTAATTGTTCGTGACGATGGGAGCCCGGAGCAACGCAAGTTCGGATAGACACTGCGCCCACGAGACATCAAGCTGTTATATTTTGGCGTATATAAGAACTTCTGATGGCTTGGGAGAATGCAATTTCATCCCCCGTTTCTTACCTGTTCCTTGGTAATTGGTGCTTACTACGAGTGCGACGGTCTGTCGTGCCCCTCCGAATCTACTGTGTTCTATGAGTCCAAATCTTATAGGTGTCATCTTCGTTCAAATTTGTCACGCCTTGGATTTGGTTCATAGCCAATACAGTAGACCGGAGGTCACACTTTCCTTTGCATTTCATGTTTCACCTATTGTCCTCGATTTTTTTTATTCGTCTACGTCTACTGCTGCCATGCATCATCATGCACATCCAACCTTGCTCGACTCATCGACGACTTGACATGGATATTATTTTTTCTGACCATTCCTCAAGCAAACGCCAAGTGATCCTCGGAGTACACATACATGCTAATCATATCTCCGAGCCTTTAGGCTTTTTATTTTCTCTCCAACCCATATTACCGATACGGGCAATTTTCGAGGTATACCACATACCTCGGATGACCTCGGCTCATCACGGATCAGTTGTATCCATTATCATAAGATCAAGATGAGGAGCACAGAAGCTCAGGGAAGGGCCCCAATGCATGGGCGGCGCCTTGGCGCCTTTTAAATTGACGCATCCAGCCAATTTCTCGGGTTCTTCTGATTCGAGGTTTTTCGGGCGATCTCCGTTCACAAATAGCCTCGTATTATGTGAGAAGTGCATCAAATGATGCGATTGTTTCCTGCCTCGGAGGAACTTTCATCTACGAGGACCTGTAATTTCAACGAGATATGCAAGGACCTGTCATAATAATCCGACTGCCTCGGCCGAGATTAAGAGGGGGGAATTCAAGAAGATCAACAACCGGTGCAAGTTCTTGTGCGGGGGGGCATTAAAATGCTGTACGCTGATATGTGCCCAAAATCTACCAAAGTCCGAAGGCTGTTCCAAGGACGACATCGAAATAGAAGAAGATGTGATTATCATGACGTCGCTATGGATCGGCGACACTTCACACTTTCACAGAAAAGTAGCGAGATATCGATCATATCGAGGATGATAGCATCATCCCTGCATATTCGGAATGGACCGACAGGCCATAAACGCACCACGAGGCTGGCCATGGGGAGAACAAGTAACGGCATTTCCACTAACCTCACAAGTCGGTAGTGTATCTGCCCCATGAGTAATGCAAGTAACGGATGGCATTCACAGCGAAAAAAATACAAGAATCAACACCAGCGGGGTACCCGGGTATGTCCATCGGTGTCATTTCAAAAGCTCTTCTACAATTCTATCTTCAGAAATATTGGCAACGTTCGCGCCACGGTAGTTCAATCTCCGAAGAACGTCGATCTGGGTTACCCCACGCCATCAGCTGTCATGAATATAAAAAATGACTTTTCCGAGACGTACGACTTTTGAGCGCTCGAAACCAAGACTCTCGAACTGATCTACATGGGCTTTTTCAAGACCCGCTATTGCGATCTCGTCTCTCTGTAGCTCCTTCACTTCCATCTTCTTCACCACAGGCCCTCCGGCATATATCTGTGTCCAGTATCTTGCTGTCTCATCAAAGCTTCGCTTGCTGGTGGTGTAGTGCTTCGCAACCTCTGCATCTTGCGGATCATTAGGCTCAGGGGAACACAACAGCGATTGAAGCGAGATCAGCGTCGATTTGAGCGTTAGAACAGGCGACCACGCGTCCTTGAGAATGTCAAGACAGATAGCTCCCGACGCTGATGATATGTTTGGGTGATACACTTTCGTGATGAATTTCATCTTGACAGGTTGGAATGGATATGAATCAGGGATGACAATATCCTGTTAGCACGCCGATTGAGAGTTCTGATCATGTCGCATTAGACAAAAAAATCAACGATGCGCACCACCTCGAAGTGGCCACCTTCATATGGGGTGTCCTGAGGACCGGGGAAAGATCCTTTCAGATGAAATGGTGACGAATCTACTAGGTCGATTTTGATGTTTGAAGATTTGTCGTTCTTGCAGTCTGACCAGGGGTGAGAGTGAGAGTTGAGCGATGCTACAGCAATGACGATTGATTCCTACCAGCTATTTCTTTATTCACGCGGCGAAGACGGGCGTCCATGATGTACAAACACAAGAAGACTATTAAGCTTAGAGCTATGTAAGTACAAGTCAAGACGGTGAAACGAAATAACAGCGGCTTCCTCATGTAAGAATCACGTGACTTTATCAATATTACCTTCAGCGACCCTTTACCACGGGTCTATGACTTCGGCCGCCCTTGCCCCACAATGCACATGATCACCATCAAGGATTGATAATCTCTTCAAGGCCCATCTCTCAGGTATCATTGTCTAAAACCATTTGATCAAGATGGAAACCCCCACCATGCGCCAGCGTTTTGAAGAATACATCCTCAACCTCCAAGAGGAGATCATCACTTCCTTTGAAACGCTCGATCCCAATGCTCCAAAGTTCAAGCGCGACTCTTGGTTACGAGCAAATCAAGGCGGCAAGGGTGTATCAGGCGTCTTCTTCTCTCCCCCTCCCACAGATGGATCACCCAGCCCACAAACAGTCCTAGAGAAGGCCGGTGTCAACATATCCGTCGTACACGGCATGCTACCCCCTGCTGCAATCAAAGAAATGCGTGCAGATCACTCCTCCATCCCGTACGACGGAAAAACCAGTCTTCCATTCTTTGCGGCTGGAATAAGCCTCGTCGTGCATCCTCGCAATCCTCACGCTCCCACTGTACACGCTAATTATCGCTATTTCGAGATCTCGGAGAAAGCTGCCGAGGGTGAGGGAACTGGAAAGGTTATTGCATGGTGGTTTGGAGGAGGCTCTGATCTCACGCCATCGTACCTCTACGATGAAGACGCGCGTCACTTCCATAGGACGTTGCAAAATGCCTGCAACCAACACGGCAGCGAACTATACCCTGTGTTCAAGAAGTGGTGTGACGAATATTTCTATATCGTCCACCGTCAAGAAACTAGAGGGCTCGGAGGTATCTTCTTCGATGATCTCAGCTCCGAGAAACATGCTCGGCTCTCAGATGATGTCAAACGACCTCGATCAGCGGATGAGATCTTTGACTTCATAAAAGAAATGGGAGATTCGTTTATTCCCTCCTACTTGCCCATTCTTGAGCATAGGATGTCGATGCCGAGCACCGACCAACACAAACGCTGGCAGCTGTTACGTAGGGGGCGTTACGTCGAATTCAACCTTGTGTACGACAGAGGTACCAAGTTTGGGTTGAAAACGCCTTCTGCACGTATTGAAAGCATCTTGATGAGCCTTCCGGAGACTGCAAGGTGGGAGTACATGACGGATATGGGTTCAGACTTGGAGAGCGAGGAAGGGCGCTTGATTGCAGTCTTAAAGCAGCCTGTCGATTGGGCTGGTTCGGAAACCTTGTAATGATAGTTCTCAGCGGGTATAACACTCGCTAGGAAATTTTAGATGTAACAACTGAGGATACCGTGCGCAACAGCTACATCCATTTTTCGCAAGTCAAAAAAATAAAATAAGCCTGATAGGCATTGATATACAGAATCGTTCCACTAGAGATAATGTATCTACGAGGTGAGGTACAAGCCGGACAAGCGTGAAGCTCACGTGGGCTTGTTGATCTCTTGCTGTGTCTGACCCTTCTCGTTCTTGATGTTCCCTGTTCAATAAACAGATTGTCAGCCGTCAGCCGTCATCCTGAGATAACTACCTACCAGTTGTCTGCTGGGCTTTATCGCCAGTCACAGCTCCAACAACTGAATCCTTGTAGCCGCTAACCCTGTCGGAAACGCCCTCCACGTATCCCTTGGCTTGAGCGTCGTTGTACTCGCCCTCCCCTTTGGCGTGTTCTTCTTTGCCTGACTGCGACCAAGATTGCATGCCGGTCATGTCGCCGATCTAGAGAGAAAAATCAGCATGTCGACGGCGTTCGGTGTGATGAGCTCGTACTGTCTCGACGGCGGTACCCTTGACAGAGTGGAATTGACCAGATACTTTGCTATAAGAAGATGAATGAGTTCTGGTGATCGGGAAAGACGGCGGGAAAAACGCTTACCTGGGTTCTTCGGAAGACATGATGATGATTTGAATTGATGGTGCGTTGGTTAAGATGTAAAGTAAAGCTGATTGGAAATGCTCAACGTCCTCCTAGTTCTTATACTCCTCTCCGATGGCGTACAAAAAAGGCAAGTGGTATGACGTCGAGGAGTCGTGACATCATACGGTTTGGAATACGACTAAAATAAAGATAACGTGATTTGCATGTGAATTCGAAAAATCACTCGCCGATTTGGATCCTGGTATGATGTCAACCGAGTGTATAGCGCGTACGACCGTGACTTTGAGGGGCGCTAATACTGCGCTACAAGTCCCTGAGCGGAATGGTAGGTAATTGTGATTTTCTACAGAAAGGGAAGGAAAAATTTGATCCTTCCCATCTCACGAAACCCGAGAATTCCATACTTCCGAGTCATTCGGACGCCACTCTAACGCGAGGACAAGAAGCACCACACTCCAAATGATAAAAAAAATGACACTCATCACCATCACCATTCCCGATTCGATGCTGCTGATGTGATGAAGCATGCAGGTCGTACGTCATCGTGTCACATCCGCAGAAGTCAGGTTGAATGCCCGGCCTGGCGCGATACATGGCAGTTTCCAGAAGGCAACAGTACCTTATCAAGAACCCATAGGACGGCTCCTCCAACGGAAAATCAGAACATATTTTGTCATCGTGATAAGACCACTCGATTCGCTGCTATCATGAAAAAAATGAGGTCTTGGTGATGGACACAACAAGTGCACACACCTTCACTGTGATGGAGAATAATAGGTATCGTAATAATCCATGGATATGGGTGAAAAGCACATTTGAACCGCACGCTCGGCAAGCCCTTGATGCACCGTTCGAAAGAAGCTGATGTATGTGCAAGGGGGTGCAAGATGAACCCTGCCTAGGTATTGAAAATAGTAAATCCATTCACGTAGAGCAAGGTAAGTCACAAGGTGAAAATATCCTAATTACTATAGAGCTTATCACAAGATGCTAGAGAGAGCTGTGACCCATGAGAATCAATCAATCGAAGGTGCACAGTGAACTCACAAATAACAGCACACATCATATCATTCAAGCTTCTCAAGCTCCTCTAATCTCGATAACACCACATCCTTGCTGGTTTCCTCAATCTCTCCCGCCAAAAATATCTCGTCTAAGATGGCGTACACCTGTAATTATTGGGTCAGAAACAATGCGTACGACAGACAGACACAACCGCACTTTGTAGAAATTGAAGACAAGATCCAGCTCGCATACATTGTCGAAAAATGAGTCTGAATCAATGTCAGCGAGCAAGCTCAACCCGTGGGATACGAACGAATCGCTCACCAAGAATCTCGACAAAGAGGTGGATAGCCTCAAGATATGCCAGCTCATTGTCGTTAGCGTCGACACATACGCAAAAGAAGAGACCGGCATAGCGCCTGTACACGATCTTGTAATTCTTGAACTATTCCACGTCATAAGAATTAGTAGAAGATGTGTGACATGTCGTTCTGTCCTCACCTCAACAAAGTTCGACTGATGTTTCTGGTCGCGCGGAGCAACTAGTCTGTGCACTTCACCTCGGAGTCTGACCTTGGTACATAGTCAACGGCATGAAAATTCTCAATGGCACCCATCGCACCTTCTCATCGTCGTCGTACGGAACATACCACTTCGACAACCGTGTCTTCCCTTGACGGTTCTGTGCACATATCATTTAAGCAGATTGCCTTTCATGCTGAAGTAGTGCACCTGCCTGCACAAGGATGAACCTGATCATGGTGGCTCATTTGCCGAGGAACTCTCGATCTTACATCCTTTGTTTACTTCAGAGGCTTTTGCCAAACAACGCCGCGAAAAGTCACGTGGCTTCAACTTGACCACGATCTTTGCATAGGTAACTAGAAACACATGTATGGAAGTATAACAAAAGAGCCCAAGATGTATGTCGGAGAGGATATAAAAGTATTTGGCATCAACTTAATGCTGAGACATCTGCGCCAAATAATCCGAGAGCTGAATTGCATAGCAAGCATTAGCCACGCTCAAGGCAATGGATAAGACAGTCACCTTCAATGCACTGGTTCGAATATTCTCTCCGACGTTCTGAACGTCAGGATTTGACATGACCCTTGCCACAATATCTCTTGCTGCAACTTCGAGATTCGAAAGATTGCCATCGCCCAATAGTCCACCATCTGAACTGGTACGCTCGAACTCTTCTTCTTCGTCCCGACCAAAGTATTGGTTAGACGAAATGGATGTAGCGCCTTGGAAGTTCTGTAAACGAGCCTGAGACTCAGAGACAAAATTAGGGTCGTAATCTTTTCGGCCAAAGTACATGTCGGACGAGATAGCCTTTTGATTGCCAAACTTGTCTCGTGCGGTGGTTGGTGTGTCATCGATAGTAGGACTGTGCGATTAGAAGATAGATCAATGCCATTGAATGTTCGGTTGAGATAGTGATATACCTTGATCTCGCAGTGGATGAAGGTGAAGCGGTGGGAACTGCCCCAAAGCCAAGCTTACGGAAGCCCATGCCCAGCCTCTCAAGGTCTTGACTGTTGCCCTTCTGCAAGTCGACCTTTCCCTGCACTATGTTCGTCTGCACAGCATCAGCAGACTTTGCCCTAACCTGCGACGAAGCGATCTTTTCTGCCTCTTTCCGTGCGCGCTCTTCTTCCTCCTCTCGTTCTCTGTCATAGCCAAGCTGCTTGATACGCTCAGCTTCCTCTGTAGCTTTGCGTTCCGCTTCCGCAAAATCTATAGGCGTAGCTGCTTTTCTCGCGCCAAGGCCACCAAGTTTGGATTTCTTCTGAGAGGTAGAAGTGACTGATGAACCGATCGCGGAAGTAGATGACGTCAAACGCGTTGCACCGAGCCTAGCAGTACCATTTGTAGAGGTACTGGAGTTCGATCGCATGGAACTAGATGTGGTTGGTCGAGAAGCAGTTGAACCTGTTGATGCTGGCCGCCCAATGATAGGAGGAGGTGTAAGAGCCGAGGAAGAGGTTGTTTTCGGAGCGGCGGGCTTTTCCCATGAAGAGAAGAAATCTTCCTCTCCTTGCGTAGCTTCAGTGCTCGCAGGAGAAGCATCGACACCATCCACCACGATGCGCGTAGGGAACCTGACAGAAACGATTAGAATAAACCCTTTCCAAGCATATCAAGAATTCACTTTGCGACATCTTCCTTCACTCGTCTCGCAAGCTCTTCCTTGTACAGCTCAGCAGCACGACTCGAGTACTTCTTCTTAGTGTCGGAATCGCTGAGAAGCGTCGCAGCACCATGTCGCGTAAAGAAATCTGTCGCCGATGCGTTTCCGCCTACTTTCATGGTACGAAGCTGGTTTAGTTGCCAGCTGTCGAGGTTCGTTGATCTGCCATACCGTTGCCGGTGATAAGAACCCGCGAGGACATCATTTTTATGGCAAAACCACGCACCGTACAAAACTTATGTGTACGCCCATATTACGATGAACACTAGAGCAGTCTAGGCAGATATAAACTCCAAAAGTCACACTAGACCAAGTCGGATTCCGAGCCTGACAATCAAAACATGTCTGCAACCCCGGAAGTCAACGAATACTATAACGAGTGGGTTGAAATAAACTAACCTTGTTGCCTTTTTGTGATCTCAGAACTTGAAAGATCTGCTCTGATTCCGCCTTTGAAGGGTCTGCCATTACTGCTACAAGCAAATTGATCAGTGAGCCTAAGTGTCCGTCGTGGAGAAGTCAAGGCCCTTGTGGTGTCGTATCAGTGTTCTGGGGACCTCAGGGTGGTGACTGAGGTCCGCTTTCCTTATATGATAATTCAGCAAAAAACCTACATGACCCTGCTTCCTCTAGCTCTAGCACGTTCATTTTGCTTTTTTTTTTTTTTTTTTCTTACATATCCCGACGTCGACGCTGAGTACCGAGTGCAGTGAAACTGTGAATTCATGAAGTTTCTATCAAGTTTCTCTCCTGCTGGCCGACTGCGGTTCAACCTATACCGCGTTCTGGAGAATGACTACGCGATCTAATATTAATCGTGCGATTTCGCGTTCTCCGTGTTCCCGTTTCTTCTCAAGTGGAGATCATCACCAATGACGCTTCCCATGCTCTCCCGCATGGCGTCACCCGTAGGCCATCCTCAAGCACTGGCGCTGCCGTTGGCAGTGGGGAATTGCCGGAAGCGAAATAGATCCTTGACTCTCAGCTCAGCTAACAAACATGCACCATCATATAAGCTTCACTTGTAAAATACAATATGGCTCTCTTTTCCGATAATGAGGTTGTCGAGTGCACTATGATCCTCAAAACAATGCTTGAAGGTGTGCCTCTTTCGACGTCGCCACTCATGGCGTACCGTGATAGTGATCTTTTCAAGCTATCGAGACCCTGTTCAACGTAGGATCCCTTGATATTTCATCCAGGGTATTGAAGAAGGTCAGCAACTTCTCGATTCACTTCTTGTTGGTATAGCTAGAACCGTTTTTGCGATTTTTTCGGGGCACAGGTCACGGAATATTGCAATACGATGCTTGTCTCGCGGCCAGAAACCAGCATGAGGCTTCCAGGCCAAGTGATATCAGCGAATGGGACCAGAAGTCTATCACTGCTAATCAAAATACACTTTTCAAGATCATTTTGGCCGTAGATTATCTTTAGATAGATCATGTTGTTCTTGTGAGTCTCATGATATTGGCACAGTGTCATTTCCGCTCATAAGTTTCCAGCCAAACAGGTGTTAACAGGGCTAAGGGAAAGACCCTGCGTAATATCTTTGGCAAATTTACTGCCTATTTGTTTTACCTATCGCGATCAGCACTTGACACCCACGATGATAGGCAAAAGTCCGATATGCAGATCATAACTTGTTCGATGATTTTCCGATTGCTGCATAACCACCACAACTGTTCGCGGGTTACTCGTCTCACTGTAATCGATTTGTGATATCATTGCAGCTGCAACCAGATCCTGATCAACAGAGATACTGCTTCATCATTTTGCTCACAATGTAATGGCTACTGATGTTGCATAAACGATCAAGTCCAAACATAGCACCCGTCTCTTGGAACGCGCGGTAGAAACTCAAGCACGCGGATCCCAAATTTGCCCAGTTGTAATACACTCGCTCACACGTCCAGCGCATCCAGATCCAACCAAAACCTTGTACACATGAAGGGTTGCCAGCCTCTTCCCATTGTTCAAATTTCACTCCGTAAACGCCACCCAATAAGCAAGCAAGCCAATTTTACCCCGTGCGGCCAGCAGATGACACGTCAGTTAGAGGAATGAGTACGAGAGCATCGGAGCCACGTGTTCGTCGGTCAACATGCCAGAGATGGAGGTGCATGCGCGTGGCAAGGATCGCGAGGATGATGAGCTGGAAACTGCATTGGAGGGGGTTTGTTAGCAGGAATGCGCAGCATGATTCGAGGGACACACTCTTGAAACATGGCGTTGTACGCGTACTGAGTGTTTGGGAAATCAACGACTCAATCTTGGGGATGGGAGGGGCGGGTGTACTCACTTGGAGGAGCAGGCATGTGAGTGCATTCACCATCGAGAAAACTTTCGGGACAACAATCATCATCGATGAGCATAGGGACAACAAAATAGCCTATGTGATGACTCACATAGACCGCATAGGTAATAGAATATGTTATGCTTTAAAAGGACGTCATACAGAGGGGCACGAGCTATTCGCCAGCTCTGTATGGCACGTACGAGCGTGAGAGAGATGAGCCCTTAGCAGAGCGTACTAGGTCAGCGCGAGTCCTTGTATACGCATGCTCACCGCAACACACCCAGTTCGAGAGCAAACAAGAGGACAAACGGCACAAACATCTCATCACTGCCTGTGGACTGGTAGCAGCCTGTGATTCCTGGGATCGTGCTGGTGTCAACTGTGACATCCGAGTTGACAAGCGTATGAGTGATAATAGAACGTCAAGTAGAAAGTGAGAGTGCATACATGGTGCGTCAGCAGTGGCACTAAAGAGGACACCGACGGATGCTACAATGACAGCCTGACTGACACATCTACCAAGAGCTTGGGGTGCAGTGAGTGAGGACTCACAATAAATCCGATCAGCATGGCGATAAGCACGGATTTGTTTTGGTTCCATAGTGCATATGTCCTAATGATGAAAAAGCCTGGATGAATTGGATGAGAAACGCGCGTACTATTTTAGGGGAAGGAGAGTTACATTCGGAGCAAATGACTGAAATGAGACTGAAACCTGTGAGAGGGAATAGGAGCGCTTAGAAGTGCGTGCAGGGATCATGCACGTACACGAGCAAATATTGTTGATCATTTGGCATTCCTGGCGATGCCATGTATTGAGCGTCGTTCAGTCAGTAAGTTTACGGCAATATCACGTACGTCGGGATTATTATTTGGGACGAAGTTCACTGAAGCACATGTCAATCCATTGATTATCACCCGAGGGATGTGTGCTGAAGCTGAACGCACGATATAGATGTCCAACGAAGAGGAGCAAGGGCATATAGCGTGTAAGGATATAAAGACCCTTTACTTTGGTCCAACGCGATTGAGTCAGGAACGTCAACTTGAAATAGCGTGTTATCACTAAAGAACCTTATCTCAAACAACGGATTACCTCCTGGTAAAGCGAACAAACATAGTCATATGTCTGGACAAGCAAGTTTAATAGCGGATGGAATATATGCACCAAGACGAGCGCACCCAGAATGTAGCCGCCGAAGCTGAGCCGCGTTAGGACAAGGAAAATGTTGGTTGATATGGTACGCACTGTATATATACTGATTCCACATGCATGATATATGTCGTTATCAACGGCCACCCCACAAGAAAGGGACGTACCGTGAAGGTTCGAAGACTCCTCGCCGCTGCGATGTCCCCAGCCGAATACTCCGTTTGCATTCAGACTCGAAGGAGGAGCAGAAAAGAGTTTCCACGCGCAAGAGATCTATCTTTGCCTCTTATATAGATGGGTTGGGAACCGAGAAAGATGCAGGCGTAATCAGCTGTACGCCACTCAGGGCTGAAGCTGCCAGTAGGGCCCCAGTGGAGTCTTCTCATGGGAAGCAGTCTAAGCCATTCACGTTCTAGATGTATATTTGTGTTTATACTGACGTGATTGAGACCCGAGGCATGCCATGCTGCATTTGGAGTTGATGATGGGTCGCGTGACCAAGGTGTAAGTAGACAGGAGGATATGTCACCATAAAACACATATGTGATCCGGCCGGTGAAATGAAGTAGAGTGGTGAATGATGACGGATAGCAGAGATTATCTCGTCAGAGTCTAGTAAACCGATACAACCCTCACATCCCGATGCAGTTCCACATCATTCGCAACCATGGTTAGAGTTAGACTGTATAGTAGAGGGGCCATTATATGCGCCCGTAAAGGACCTGTTATTTCAATCCGTCTATGGTCGTCAACACCCATCTAATTTAGAAGAAAGAGACGCGCCGTATAAGTCTCCAGACTCCTCTCAGCTACGACAGTCAACCGAAAGCTCTATCTGCATTCCGTGCAGGAGTGACAGCAGGATTCCATGCGAGGTACGTATATTTACCACTTATATAAGTGAGTAGAAGCCGAGCAAGATGAGGGCGCAATGGGTAAAACTAGGGTCCTTATGAGGCCATAGGAAGCAGAATCTCAAAACAATGTGATATGGATCCAGTTTTGCGTTTGGAGACGATCGTCTTTGATGGCGGCGTACGGACATTTGGCCTGCCTGAAAGTGGATGTGACGATGTTGCAAGCACCGGCTTACCTGAATTCCCATAATCAGTACATCTACCGTCGCTGTTATTGAAAGATAAGCCGTCAGTATTCCACCTTTTAGTGTAACGGGCGGCGGTCTGACCAAGTTACACATGTCTCCGCTAAACACTTATTCGATCTCGACGGTGACAAGCAGAGTGACAAATGACAAAGAGCAACACACCTGGAGTATATCTCAGATGCGGTATGCCAAGTCAAATATCTGCGATCCATGTGAAAGAAATCAGTCATTGGATTTAAATTACACGGAATAGGGGCCATATATATGCGCCCGTAGAAGTCTTATTATTCATTATGCAAGTTCAAGGTATCTTTGAACTGCAAAGCCCGATCAATGCATGAAGTAAAAGATAGTTTATCATCACCTACCTTCCCAGTTCGTCACTGCCGCATTCCAAAGCCTCACCTCGTGCTCCCTCGTTGCTCCAAAGTGGTCTACAAAGTCGTCTCCAAACACTTCACGCGCAATGCTGTCAGGCCTCATCATAGCCTTGGTCGCATCCTCCAACGAACCAGGAAGCAAAATAACCTATTCGCAAGTAGTTAGCATCGTAATATTCCAGAATTGTTTGCTAGTTCACCTCCTTCTTCCTGGCTGGGTCGCTTTGGTAAGTGGAGATGGGTGGCGTCTTGAGCTCGAGTTTTTTGGCAATTCCCCGCATGCCCAGTTGGAAGATGGCACTCAAGGCAAAGTAGGGATTCATGTCGGCACCAGGTACACGAACTTCAAATCTTGTTGCGGATGGTGGAACAGATGGTGGCGAGATAATACGGACAGAGGCCGCACGAGAGTCGTACCCGTATGTAACTGCGTTAGGAGCCCAAAAAGCTTCACCGCCAACGAGACGTTTATAGCCATTAATCGTTGGCACAAGCTCCCAAGTTCTTAGATAAAAATCACTTTAGTGGGAGTCGGGCACTCACCATAGGCATCACTACATCATGCATTTAGCATTCATATACATCTTACTCGAATATAAAAATCAAACTTACCATCAGGAAGGCCATCCAATACACCGGCCAAAAAGTACTCCCCAATTTGACTTAGGTATCTTGTGTCCTCAAACGCTGCATTAGCTCGTCCGCGATCTACATCTTTAAGTGAGAACACATTGTGGCCTTCTCTGTCTTTAAGTGATACGTGAACATGTCTGAGCTAATGTCAGAAGAATCTTTGACACAAAATGAGATATCAATACAAACCCACTGCAGCCTGGTAGCTGAAGCAACGTTTCCATGAGATTTTAACAAACTCTACTACAATTCGACTCACGTTTCCCCATGGTTTCGCCATAAAACTAGGGAGGACTCCATGTTTCAGCCCTACACTCTTCGCCAAAAATTTGTACAGGATAGAATTGTCCGCCATTCTCATAGCTGATGTATAAGCGAGTGCAGTCTCGAGGACACCTGGACCCGTTTCGGTGTCTACACTGGAGTCAGCTGTCATCACTGTCATAGTGGATAAAATATCGTACGATGTCCTTCAATATCTATGTCGAACTTCAGACTCTCGTTGAAGAGCGCGTGAAAATATTCTTGGTTCAGTTGAGTGCGGAGTAAGCTATATCCATGCACTACGGTGATCTTTAATCAGCTAATACGCAACAAACTGCGACTTTGCTTACTTCCTGGAGTTAATGGCTGCAGCTGAGTGAAGTGCTTTTGAGCCGCAGATTCAGGGGTCTCTGAATAAATCCATTTAGATCACATCCCTGGACTAGAAATTTCAGGACGCACCTTTGAAATTGAAGTACTAGAAAGCTTCATGAGTTCATTGAGAGCAAAACATAACTGGTTGAGATTTCTGACCTCATACTCCACACCAGAAATGCATTCCATACCACGAGCAGTCGCATCATCAACAACTTTGCGCAGAACGCCTCTAGGATCCGCGCAAATGGGCGCTGAAGTCTTCGGATCGAAGAATGAGACAAGGAAAAAGGGAACGTTGTTTTCCCAAGGTATGCGCCGAAATGTCGATAAGTCTATCGAAGCCATTAGATCGCGGTAACCGTTCTCTTTATTTGATATAGCCAGTTCCCGAGTGTAGACTGAATCGTGCATGTCCCAGCCACTGCAACGCGGCTTGTGTCAAGTCAGAGAATTGGGGTAGCAACGGCACGTACAAAATCACGCTACAAAATCCAAACCCTTCTGAGGCAACGGCGCTTAGAAACTTATCTTTGGACTGCGGGTAACAAATCAATATTGATAAGGACGGACTCAGCAAGAAACATACCATAAATTTTCCTCTGAGGACGCCATCCACTTGAGATGGAAATCAGCATTCGACTTATTCAAGGGTCGGAAGGCAAGGGTGCACCATCTATGCCTGTAGGGTAACAAAATAAGTACTGTTGTAAACATCAAGTTATCACATTTTGCAATCACAACCGACCTGCAACTTTAACCTTGACATCATGGAGAAGTAGTCCTTTCAGATGATCGATTGACCTTGGAGCTTTTGGAGTAGCAGTTGTAGTCGCCATATCCCAAGTGGCTGAGGTGATGGATTGTTTGAATTTGTTTCAGCTCTGGGGCTGAAGCTGCTGGCATGGGCGGGCGGTACCGGTGCCACTAGTTCTCTATGAGGAAGATTTTTATGTAACCCAACGCGGACTTTGGTCTTCATCACGACTGTCTGAATCGATTTTCCATTATTCTTTGCAGGCTCAGCGCTCAGGCCTTTGAGGTACGGGCTTCCATGAAATCCGAGATCTCATGCTGATTCGGATCAATTATCATCATGTAGACTCTGTGCATACTGATCTGTCCGCATATACCGAGAAACTTTGAAGGTCGTGAAGGACTATCGAAAAGTTTGAGAAAAGTGTCATCCGTTGTATTCATGGCGCACAGTGCAGGTAGCCTCGGGGACATGTGAGTTGCGTCCAATCATGTACGTCTCGACACGTCGAGAATAGATATATTGCACGTGCCTGACAAACTGTGTTTCAACTTATACAGGCTCTACGTTTCACTATGAACACGGAAAGATGATCTTTGCGGAGGTTGATGCAACCTTGACGTTGGAACTCGGTGCCGACGTGCTGAACGAGGTAGAAGACGTGACATCGTTCTTCATATTTCCGACTAATCTTGAATCGCGACCATTCAACCAAACACAAACGCTCAACTGGCATTTTCGTTGTCTAGACTCGGTACAGTCCGCCTCGTTGATCTTTCTGCGAAACAAGTATAACACATGAAAATAAATCACGACAACGTTTGTACCTTTCATGTTTCTGGTTCATGCCTCCTCATAGTGATGCAGATCTGTGGTTCATTCCTGATCATTCGAGTGAACTTGTCAGCGGTGGATACGACTTTGGGCTGCTGCATTATATTTTCACCAAAGGAACATATTTCTGCGATTCGATTTAGGTAGTTTGACGTTTTGGTCGATTTACCAGTCACTCATATTTCTCATGTCAGAGCGCAATTTCCAAGTGCTAAGTCACTGTCGAATGGATTCAAAACGTTCAACTATCACCTAGGGACGTCTCCTCTGTCAAGTCTTTAGGTGTTTCAATGTCTCCGCCATTTATATTGTCGTCTGCCATGTCGCCATCTGGCATCTTGGCTGGGGGACCGCCGACAGATGGGTATGGATTGGCACCGGCGGAGAGAAAAAAATGTCAGGAATCTTATTTGCCACATCTGTCAAAAAGAAACGGCGGATACATAGGATAATTGAAGCGGGAATAAGCCCCTTGCGAATAGGCCTATAAGAAGAAAGAAACAATGGAAGTGGGAAGGATCAATATCTGAAACCACAAGTGACGTCGTAGGGTCAATCAACAACCTTGTTATTTGAGCGTACATACAGCGAACAAACATGGTCGTTTTAAACAATATTCGAGCCGGATTGAACAAGAGAAGGCATGGCAAATGGAAACTATAAGTACAAGACATACATAGCGATAGTCAGCAATATTGTTATCAGAATGGCCCGAGACATGGTAAGTCAGAACGAACGCATGCAGAACGTCCCGAATTCCCTTTCATCCTCATACAACGTAAATATCGCGAGAATCGACTAAGATTGTGACCAAGTGGGGCATGGTGAGTTAAGATGAAAGTATGCAGAACGTCCCGGATTCCCTTTCACCCTCACTGCAGGTTGATGCCAGAAGTCAAAGGGACCTCATACGCGTCGCATGTCACCTCAGAGAAGCGAAGTTTCTGACCCACTTTAGGGTTGCCATACTATCGACGAAAAAACGTCTTTAGCGAAAGAAAACCCCTTTGGAAAGTAGTAAAACTTACCAGCGTCAGTCCGGGCTGCGGCATCGGGCAAGCGTATGACAATGCACCGCCAGTGGGACCATACATTTGAATGGCGCATTCACCCCCAGCGCAAGAAGGGATACCCGTGAATTTACCCGCATGGGTACCATCAAGGGTGAATTCCATATGCGCCCCACCTGTGGCGTCATTAATCCAGCCCTTCGTCGACGTCGTGTCTTTGTACAATCCGTGCTGATCTTGGAGGGAGAAGAACTCTCCCGTCTCAACATCCTTTCCACGGGAGCAATCAGTGGTCGATTTGCAGACTTTGAAGGGGATATCAACGAAGAAGCCGTTCTTCTTGTAGTCGGTGTGATCCCTGTCGATGCCGAGTTGCTCGCCATCGCTGAAGGAAAGAATATAGCAATGGCCATATTTGATGCCTAAATATTTTCCATGCCCGCAGACCGGATAGTTCGTGCATCTGCATGAGGGGTCAACACCGCCATGTCCATTGCCATTGCCATTGTTACATGTCCGAGGGCAGGGACCAGGGAACGGGGGAAGATTGAGAGGGTTGAAGGGGTTGTGATGATTGAGAGGATTGAGAGGGTTATGGGGGTTGAGGGGGTTGAGGGGATTATGAGGGTTGAGAGGGTTGAGGGGGTTATGAGGGTTGGGAAGATTGGGAGGGTAGGGAGCATGGGGAGGGTTAGGATGGTAACCTGCTTGCCTAGCATGTTCCTCATAAGGAGGGTAGAAAGCGTGCTCAGCGTGTTGAGTAAGCACGACAGAAGCTTGTGAGAGAGCTAAAGCAGTTAGAACAAAAAGTCGCATCATTGTGAATGGCATACTGGAGGAGTTGCACGGCGTGCATTTATACTGTGGCTAGCGCTCAACCTCTGTTTAGGAGAGCTGGCGATTGGCATCGGAGTTCAATAATGATGCACACAGCATCAAAGAAATCAGCTCTCCCGGCTCATCTGATGTTCTTCAAGTTATCACGAAAGAAATATTCTGTGTAATTTAGGAATATTGGTTAGCGGCAGCCGGAAACATATCAAGTAAGTTCTTACTCAATTGACAAATCAGTAATGAAAACCACCTTACCTACGCACCAGCGTTAACTTGTTGCTTATTATGACGATAAGGAATTTCCAATCTGTATTAAATGTTACCCTGGGTACGCATTCGTCAGGTCAGTCAAAAACAACTTACTTGTTTGAGCCGCTGCAGTGGAAAAAAACGAAAGGTGACCTGGTAGCAATATACACATAGACCGGACCATCAGCATGTACTGAAGACAAGCTTAGAGCGGGTAACCAACAACGAACGTGCAATTGCAATTGTACACCCGCTTACAATCACAACGTAAAACTTGCTATGCCAGCACCAGCGCCATTCGAACGACAGAGAAGCGAAGATTCCGCCACATCCCATGACGGCCAATATAGATCCTGGGACCGATACGCAGAAAGTGCGCCGAATGTTTTTCGACAGATGGAGCGTCAATCACACCGCGTTCATTGCCAAAATTAGGTCACCCTCAAAGAGCGCTCTGACTATGAAACTTGGCTAGATCAGTTTGAAACAAATTACACGAGTACCGTAAGTTTTAACAGAAATAGGCTGCGCAGTCAGATGAAAGCCCCGGGAACCTTCAGCATCCGTGGCCCTGGCGCCTTGGCGAGCTTCTATTGCCTCAAGAAGGTGATCGGCTATATTATCAGAGTCCAGGCTAGGACACCTTATCATTCGCACTGGGAATATTAACGGCAAAGATCACCTATGGAGCGCTGAAGAAGTGGAACCATGAGGGTGTGACTGCGAGTCAATCACTAGCGCTAAGGCGGTAAAGCATTGGTCCGAATGTGTTTATGCGCTAGTGCACATCAGGTAATCCAATAACCGAAGCACGTGTATAGGCTGTAAGGTCGAGTCTGTTGTAATCTTGGATGAAATTGTGAGCGTTATGTGGTGGGTGAGCCTGCGGTAAACGAATCAAGACTGCAGCTCCTGCAGTGTGCACGGAGAATTATATGCAAATCATTAACGATGTGGTAAAATATCGCTGAGGGAGTGTACTATGTGGATGTGCCAGTGGGTAATTGATACATAGATGGCCCGGGATTGTGAAGTCTGATAACTCGCCAGATGTGGGGGTGAGCGAAAAAAACGTAGTGGATGTGGTGCGGGAATACTGAAACCAGTGTGAAATGATGGATGTATGGGAGGAACTGAGGTTACAAGAAGTTCTGGTGTTCTGCAGTTGGTTTGAAGTTCAAGTTGCCGACGTGGCGGATACTACTCGTTCATTTGCCTCCAAGACTTGAAGTCCCGCAAACCTTGGGTGAATGACTGCATCAAATTAGCATTGCAGACACTCGAAAATATACAATCATACCTTGTGTACCCTTGCAGCTACTGAAATATTCTTGCGGGTGCACGAGTGCAGATGGATTCTGGACTCATATTTGGAGTCACTGGATGCAATTGCCAATCAACTTGTCTCGGCATAATTTTAATGTCAGCCTGACTCTATATCGGCAGTACCCAGCTAGTAGGTGCATCACGCTGAAAACACGATCTCCAGCTTCTCAACAGATTTGCTTTGTTTCGGCCAATGCTCAGCGCTCAGGCTTTAGCACACACCTTAGCGTGCTAGTAATCGAGTCACAGCCTCATGGTACCACTTGAAACTCCCGCCAGCGCTTCAGCATCCCTTCTCTTTGGTCATCTTTGCCGTTGCCAGTGCGGACTACTCTGGGAATGTCTTTTTTTTTACTCTGTATCATGATCAGATGATCTAGCTTATCATCTTCTCGGTTACAAAATGAGTCAACAGAAGCTCGCCACGGCGTCAGGACCACGGATGCTGAAAGTTCCCGGAGTTCATCTGATCATTGTGGTGGCAAAACTTAGTATGGCACTCGTTTAATTGGTCTCATGAACCGATCTAGCATAAGGGTAATCTATGAACCTTCTGCAGATGGTAGGTAATTTGATTTATGCGTTGCGCCTGAATTCAGCTTGTTCTAGCCAAATTCCAAGTTCTCTATGACGAGTGGGATGATCATTGTGAATCATGTCAACACCCATGTAATGGTGGGTCAATTTCATGCTCGCCCACCTCCTGTTATTGATTTGAAGCACATAGGAGGATCCGAGTTTCATAATTAGAGCGCTCTTCGAGGGTGACCTAATTTCGGCAATGAACGTGGCGTGATTGACGCTCCATCTGTCGAAAATTATTCGCGCACTTTCTGCGTATTGGTCCCAGGGTCTTTCTTGGCCATCCATTAGATCATTCTTTGTCATGGGATGTGGCGGAACCTTCGCTTCTCCGTCATTCGAATGGCGCTGGTGCCGGCATAGCAAGTTTTATGTTATGATTGCAAGTGGGGGTTGACGTGCGTTGTTGGTTACCTGCCCCAAGCCTGTCTTCAGTACATGCTTCTGGTCCGGTCTACGTGTATCTTGCTACCAGATCACCTTTTGTGTCATTCCACTGCAGCGGCTCAAGCAAGCAAGTTGTTTTTGACTGACCTGACGAATGTGTACCCAGGGTGACAGATATTGGAATTCCTCGTCACAATGAGTAACAAGCTAACGCCGTTGCGTAAAATGGTATTCATAACTGATTTATCAATTCAGTAAGAACTTACTTGATATGTTTCCGGCTACCGCTAACGAATATTCCTAAATTACCTAGGCCATATTTCTTCCATGGTAACTTGAAGAACATCAGATAAACCGGGGGGCGCTGGTTTCTTTGATGCTGTGTGCATCATTATTATTGAACTCCGATGCCAATCACCGATTCTCCTAAACAGAGGTTAAGCGCTAGTAACGATATAAATGCACACCGTGCAACTTCTCTGATGTGCCATCCGCAATGATGCGACTTTGTTTAATAGCTGCTTTAGCTCTCTCACAAGTCTATGTCGTGTGGTCTCAACATGCTGAGGCCACTCCCCGTACTCCTCTGAGCTGCGAGGAACATGCTAGGCAAAGAGGTAAGTGTACAACTGATCTACGGTTAAATCCACCTTCACCAACGTGCTCAATTGATGTGTATCGCCAGGCCTGGACATTGATAATTGGGAAATAGTTCCTGGCAACGACGGTCAACTGAAGTGCCGTCGGACAGCTGTGCAAGAACTCTGTTATGGCGTTGAATATATAGACGCGGTAAGTCCTTACACATATTTTCTGAACTAATACTGAATAGCTGAGCAGGACACCCTCGAGGAAAAATGTGCTCAAGATGCGAGTGGTCTCACATGGATCGACAAGCCTGGGCTGTTGGCCAAGGTATGGTTTCGATTTGAGTTCTGATCAATCATGCTTATCGACATTTCGGGACAGTGGTGCGCCAAGAACCACGTATGGACGTATGATCCAACAAGCAGTTCTAGGCACGGAGGATGCTGCCCGGTTGGGTTTCACATGAACCATGGGATGTGTGTCTCAGACACTCCCAACCCTCCGAACCCCGAGCCTGCCCACCCTCAGAATCCCCTCAATTCTCACAATCCTCACACCCTCCTCGATCCTCACAACCCCGACAACCCTCACAATCCTCACAACCCCTTCAACCCCTTTGATCCTCACAACCCCCTCAATCTTCACAACCCCCACAACCTTCACAATCCTCACAACCCCCTCAATCTTCACAACCCCCACAACCCTCTCAATACTCACAACCCATTCATTCCTCTCGACCCTTTCAAACCTCCTATGCCGTTCCCTGGTCCCTGTTCTCAGACATGTGGCAATGGACATGGCGGTGTTGAACCCTCCTGCACGTGCACGAACAATCCAGTCTGCGGGCATGGCAAATATCTAGGCATCAAATATGGCCATTGCTATATTCTTTCCTTCAGCGATGGCGAGCAACTCGGCATCGACAGGGATCACACCGACTACAAGAAGAACGGCTTCTTCGTCGATATCCCCTTCAAAGTCTGCAAATCGACCACTGATTGCTCCCGTGGAAAGGATGTTGAGACGGGAGAGTTCTTCTCCCTCCAAGATCAGCACGGATTGTACAAAGACACGACGTCGACGAAGGGCTGGATTAATGACGCCACAGGTGGGGCGCATATGGAATTCACCCTTGATGGTACCCATGCGGGTAAATTCACGGGTATCCCTTCTTGCGCTGGGGGTGAATGCGCCATTCAAATGTATGGTCCCACTGGCGGTGCATTGTCATACGCTTGCCCGATGCCGCAGCCCGGACTGACGCTGGTAAGTTTTACTACTTTCCAAAGGGGTTTTCTTTCGCTAAAGACGTTTTTTCGTCGATAGTATGGCAACCCTAAAGTGGGTCAGAAACTTCGCTTCTCTGAGGTGACATGCGACGCGTATGAGGTCCCTTTGACTTCTGGCATCAACCTGCAGTGAGGGTGAAAGGGAATTCGGGACGTTCTGTATACTTTCGTTCTGACTTACCATGCTCCACTCTGGTCACAATCTTAGTCCGATTCTCACTATATTTACGTTGTATGAGTTGTACTTATGGTTTCCACTTGCTACGCCTTTTCTCATTCAATCCTGTATGTACACGCAAGTAGCAAAGTTTTGATTGACTCTCGTCACTCCTGGTGCAACGGGCAGGGACTGCAAGGGAAATACAAGAAACTGGAGACTGCGGCTCTATCCATCGAGGACTGGCTGTAACAACAGCGTAGGACTACTGACTACGACCCAGGACCTGCGCCAGACAACTCTACTACTACAGCGGTCTCGATCAATATGGATATATCCTGACCTATCATGTTCCTGACTCGAGGGTTAAAGCCTCAAAATGCTTGCCTCAGCCGCCTCGGATTCCAATCCGACAAGCATGTAAGTACTTGGTAGCATTATCGGCAAACCAGAGCTGCGCATGCGCTGGTCACTATGCCAGAAATGGAGGTGCATGCGAGTGGCGAGGATCGCAAGGATAGAGACCTCCAAACTGTATTTTGGGGGTGTTATCAGCATTATGAATTTGCAATAGAAGTCGGAGGTTCATACTCTTCAAAGGAGCGATGTGAGGCCTGGGTGTCCACAACATCAATGGCTCGATCATATTGAAGGGTATTGTGGGTTACGTACATCGGAAAACAGCATTGGTACGAGGATATTCGTGGCCGAAAGAACTTTCGGAACAATATAAATCATTGATGAACATAGATATGTATGAAGTCCTGACTCACAGACACCACATGCATAGTAGAATATGTTATGCTTCACCATGATGACGTACAGATTCCCCTTGTCTGTCCGACAGTTCTGTACGGCATGTATGAGTGAAAGGGAGACCAATCCTGGGGAAAGCATCAGTCAGTGCACGTATGTGATTTGCGCTCCCAGTTCCTGGCGACATACCCAGTTGAAAAACAAGCAAAGGAACCAACGACACGAAGTACCATATATCGCCCGAGCCCGTGTAACAGCCAGTAATGCCTGGGATCGCGCTAGTCATGACTATGCCAGATATGTGAATATGTGCGAATAGTAGTGGCGAAAGCCCAAGAGAGCACAAACCATATGAGGAAGAAATCGCTGTAAAACGAAGGCCGGTGGATGTAGCAGCAACGACCTGGCTAACGTATCAACCATGAGCTTGGGTGTGGTCAGGGTATGGGACTCACAAAAAGGGTGGCCAGTATGGTTACGAGCACGATTCGATTGTTGTTCCAAAGCGCACAAGTTCTGAGCGCAAAAATCCCTGGAGAAATCGGATCAGGAGCATGTATATGTTGCAGGGGAATGACAGATACATTCGGAGCAAGCGAGTGATATCATTCCAAAACCTATCAGAGGAAAGAGCTCATCCAGGAAGAGCAGCTATTAAATAAGTACCGTGCACGTACACGAGTAAACTTCGATTAGCGTCCTGCATTTCTGACGAAGTCATGTGGTTAGGAAGCGCCATTCATCAGTAGGCGAATCCAACTGTATGCTCACATACATTGAGGTCCTCGTTCGGGGCGAAGGAGACTGAAACACAACATTTCAGTTCATCAGGGGATATATTCTCACTGCCTGAAATGAACGCACGATATAGGGTTAGGATCAAGGAGAAAATGGGGCCATATCGTGCAATTATATAAAGGGCTTTTACCCTAGTCCAGCACGACTGAAGCAGGTATGTCCACTTTGAACGACACATTGTCAATATCCAAAGCGACGTGTATCACACAACAACTACATTGCTTACCTCTTCGTCGAGTAAACAGATATAATCATAGGTCTGAATAAAATAGTTTGACTCGGCAGACAATAACATGTTAGGACAAGCATACCCAGAATGTAACCTGCACCACTGAGTTGTCAAATTAGAACGAGGGAGAAGCAGATCAGACCACACGTACTGCGTATGCACTGGTAACCGCGCATGATATGGGTATCCGTCATCGTTTTGCCCTCGTATTAAGCAAGCGACTCACCGCTAAGTAATGCAGACTCCAGGCTACTGCAACTTGGACATGATCGTCAGCCTCTGAAGGCTCCATCTGTTTTCAGTTGAGAAGTAGAGTAGACGGGTTTTGCACACGCATCACGCAACTTTCTGATCTCTTATGGATGAGCTAGAAACTCACGAAGATGCGTTAGTAGGTGTAAACGATACTACACCATTCTGTCGTCTAGCTTAACGATGATGGCGATGGAACGTTTCATTGGCTGATTTATGTAAAATCGACCTCGCCGAAATCGCCGCAGTACGGGAACTGATAAAAAATTACGTTGTTAGTAAGTATTATACAATTAGATTTGATCAACGTGAAGTTGAAACGTGTGCTCTCGATATTATGTGGCTCCTACATTCTTGCTTGAAGTTTGAAACACCGTCAGTCCTTGAAATACACAGCAACCTTGTCCCACAAGTTTCGTGTACTTACAATATGATGGCATGCGACATCGTACTTGCGAGAATTCCCACGGGAATGGAAAGTGGGAACGTACAGCCACAACTTATATAGGCTATTGAAGCGACCTTGTGGTACAAGTCTTGGCTTGACACAAGTTTTAGTCAACACCGTCACCTACACTGGTCACCGGTCACCAATCTTACGATCACCTTGTCTCAGCATAATTACCTCCTTGTGCGAGCATCGGTTGATGAAACAGCACGTCTCTGGAATCTCGACACAAGCGAGACTTCCCCTCCAGAGCGACGAGAGTGAAGCCACTGGCAGTGACAAAGGTGTGTACGCACTGGATATTCAAGCTGCTCTCACTAAATTTGGCCTAATAGAGATCATTTTAGCTGAATCTCCCACTCGCAAGTCGCAGCTGAAAAGTTGTTCATGAACTTGTCCTAAGAGCTTTTTTGTTTCCGATGAACTGTACACAGCTAATACGAGTGCTGAATATTCTGGGCGGATCACATGAAAGGTTCAGCTCAGTCTGAGGATCGCCCGGCTGTGCAGAATCCTTTGTACCTTTGTGATACCCTTGCATGATCTGGTAAGGTGGGGCCTCTGGCATCTTTCTTGTTGACGATGTAATTATCGGTGCTTGGAGGCTCAAATATGGTCGATGTCTAATTGTATGCATGAGATAGCTCGCGGGAATCTACTTTGAATGAGAATGGGTTATCTGGTAACAGCAAAGATGATTGGTGAGTTGACGCGTCTACCATTGTCCATAAGGCATCTAGAAAAACTGATGAGAACGCCTGCTTACAGGAATTAGTTCTAATTCACAGGACGGCTTCAAGACTATGATCCAGGCTCAATGATCTGAGAGATCTTTGTATTATGCAGGTCGCCGGTAAGTGGGTGGTCAGCTGTATAGTATATTGTGGAGTATTACTTGCGATAGACCTGTTCCGACCAACCCAAACAAATGATACTACAGTCGTCTGTAAACTGAGCAAGTGGGCGTTGGGTTTAGAGACAGAGAAGCTGACTATTCATTTAAATCATAGTACTACGATGTGTATGGTCTGAAGTGTAGATGGACGTTATGAGTTCGCCACTAATCTGTATCAGACGTGCCAAGAAATGAAGACTAGCTGAAAGTGTTATCTTTAAAGTTTACATAGAGTGGTGGTTTATACCTGTTGGGTTCGTCTTCTTATCCTCAGACCTCGATGTTATGTATGTTGTATCTGAGCGAAGAAGTAGGGACAGGAGCCGTGATACGGCAGTACCAACTTGAAGTACTTGAAGTTCTGTGGATAAACATGCTAAAATGTGGAGGTGACTTGAGAATCTCAGCCTAGCAACTGGTCTAAAGCAACAAATCTATACCCACGCTGACGCTCTCATACCCTGCAATTATCCAAATTGAAGACTAAGATATCCTCTGCGCCAATCTTCACTAGTCGGTCCATGACATTCGCAATGTTCTTCTTCTCAACCATGCTGCTGATCGCAACCCAACCTTCCTCTTCAAGAGGACTGATGGTAGGGTGCTCTTCTTCCAGGTGTAACAGCTGCTGCCTGAGTTATCGATTCCCTACGAACATTATATTCGCAGACAACATATTTTCCAGCAGCCACGACTCCGGCTATTCGGCTCGCCATGAGATCGATCAGAGATGCATGATGGGCGCGATGGGGAGCTTTTGATTTTATTAGTACTGCCTCTGTTTGAAGGACTGTCGCGATGGCGTGCAGACCAGCTGCTCGCATCGTATCTCCAGATTCTGTGATGTTGTTAGATCTTTCCACGCCTGACCCGTGACGATAACATACCGACAAGATCAACTATTCAATGACCAAGATGTGAGCATCATTGCAATATGTCATTTTAGCATATGACTCACCTATACCATCCGCAAGTCCAAGAGCACAAGCTGCCTCTACACTCCCTCCTACATACTGGATCTTGGTTCTGTTATCACCAGTGAGGCTCAATTGCTCATCGATCTTGGCAAAATATGCCCCCGCGATGACATCAAAACTTGTAACCACACGTTTTCCCGCGAGATCTTCAACAGACTTGAATGGCCCATTTTCTGGAGTTTGCACTTGCAAAGCGCACTTTCCGAATCCTAGCTGATGGATCTCCGTGATCTGATCCTGCATTTTAGCTTCAAGAATAACATCGTGGCCCGTTATGCCAAGGTCGACGTCCCCATTTGCGACAAAAGATGGTATGTCTGCTGCCGGAAGGAATACGCTGGCATCAGGGTCAGATTTGATTTGATATAGGATCAGGGGCGGAGTTTTACAGGACAATGGGGTGATTCATCACTAGGCAGACGTCAAGCCTGTTGGCTCTCCGGAATTGGATGTCGGCGCCTGTAGGTTGGTTTGCATGTCACTCAGAGCTTAAAGGAGAGACACACCGGAGAGTAACTCGAGACATTTGTCGTGCAGCCGTCCTAGGATGGGTTAGTACTAACGAACTGTGATCAAGATAGATTTAACCTTTTTTTGGAATCGCGAACAGCAGTCGACCATCGAGCAGTTCCTTGTCTGATTTTTTGTCAGTTAGAATGATATCGAACGTGCAGAAGACTACTCACTCATATCGAACTGTAACAAGTTGCAAGATCTGCGGTAATCGTTTGAGTCGAATTTAGGAAAACGACCCCGCTTTACTAAAAGCAGCGCCTAGTACTGTGGGAAAATATGATTAAACCTACTTGAATTACGCGGCCTGGGAGTCAGTGGACCTGTCCGTCTCTATTAACGCTATCGACCACCAACTCAAAGCTTGCCCACCTTCTAAATGACCATCCCTGACATGAACTCAATCGCTCATCCTCAGGAGAGGCGGTTCAATCCATACACAGAAAACGGCGGCACAATTCTTGCTATTGCTGGTGCAGATTTCAGTGTTATTGCTGGCGACACACGACAGAGCGAAGGATATTCAATTCAAACGCGATACGCACCAAAAGTATTTCGGTTGTACGCGTGTCGTCACTTACTACTTCATCCTTTCTCTGACTTTTTCTTTCAAGAACCGATCGCGCGGTGCTGGCTGTGAATGGATTCGCAGCAGATGGCAATATGTTTGTGAAGAAAGTGAAACAACGTCTGGAGGTACGTCATTTCTTGATATGATTCCGATATATATGCTTATGGTGCTACGTAGTGGTACCGTCACGCTCATGCGAAAGATATGCCTCTGCGGGCAATAGCAAGATTAATTCAAACGATGCTTTATGCACGTCGCTTCTTTCCCTACTATGTATATAACATTCTGGGTGGTATCGAGGAGGATGGTCTGTTCACCTTCACGCTCCACCTTGTTGATTTATTTATGGAGCTTCTCAGGCACTGGAGCCGTGTATTCGTTTGACCCCGTGGGCTCGTATGAACGAGAGGCCTGCCGTGCTGCAGGTGCTGCTCAGTCATTAGTCCAGCCATTCCTGGATAACCAGGTGAGTTTAGAGTCTTCACTCTTCTTCCTAATTACAAATGCCACCCTTCCCGATGTTACCCGTGTATCTTGTCTGACGTTGAAACCCCTAGATCTACTTCAAGAACCAACAAGCTGCGCAGGGGACCTCACATCCGGCACATCTACCGCTGGAGACTGTCTTGTCGATAGTTATTGACTCCTTTACGAGCGCTACTGAGCGCCACATTGAGGTAAGTGCCATGTTTTGGTCATGTGATTTCATGTAACATCGTGCAGGTCGGCGATGGCCTTGAAATCTTCATCGTACTCGCCAAAGGACGTAATCTACAGGGTACGGAAAGCGTCCGGGGTTTGCAAGAGTTAACCGTGTCGGAAGATGGCGAACGCTTATTTGTTATGAGGAGGGATTTGAAGAAAGATTAAATTGCTCGCACTCTAGATCACTTTCCCTCGCTGAATATATATGCCTGGTCGACAGTAGAGGTGTCTTTGAGAATGTACAGAATACAAACGGAAACACTGCAACTATCGGAGGCCTGAAGAGCTAAGGTGGCCATAAAAGCTATCATGTAGCGATTTCGTCGAGTACGCAATTAGCACGTGTAAGAATTTTGCGTGACGACATGCCACGAATGCCTGATCTACCCGGTCGGGCACCCCAAGGCAGCAATTAGGTGGGACGTCGAACGCTGAACCCTGGAACATGGCAATCATGATTGGGACGTGGACATGCTGATTTCGTGTTGGACTAGAGACGGAAATGAAGACAGCCAAACACAAAGCCCGCATTTATGTGCGTGAGTTATTTTCTATAGAACCTCTCCCTCGTCGGGATTCTAAAATTATTCTGGTAATTGAAACAAAGACTGATACCAAATAAGAACAAACAGACTACAGGCCTTGACCACTATCGTCGTTCTCAACGTTCGCTTCCCCTCGTGGTTGTCCCGTAGTCTTTTCCTCTGTCCTTCTTATCCCGAAAAATTACCGAACGCTGGCATAAAACATCTGAATCTTATAGACATCCTCGATGATGATATTTACTTCCTTACTTCTACTGCTCGCAACATCTGCGCATGGCCAGACCGTTTACGACGCAGCCCATAATATCACAGTCATCACCGGAACCTGGAGCTCTGGCAGCCAGAATGTCGTCACTGGACCCGTGAGTCGTACATTCGATTACAATTTACGTTTTGACTCAACTTGCTGTGGTCTCAAGGGCTTTGCTACGCCATCTCAAGAGGCGTTTACATACCCAAAAACAACAGGCATGTCATACTCTTTGTGAGTATCAATCATGTTCACGGCTTCTATCTCTGACTTGAATCGAATCCTAGCACGGATGATGGATACTACGAGATCGCACGGTATCGTATGACTAGCAATGGTCCGCTTTACGTACTATATTCCTGTTTCATACTGCTAAAGCACTCCTCACAGGCACCGTACCAACCTGCATTACGGGCGTTATGAACTGGTCTCACGGTACATATGTGCTCGCCTCTAACGGCTCCATTGTCATGACACCATTCGGCGACGGCTACCAACAAATACAAGATCCCTGTGCCGCCATCTCCAACTTCATAGAAAACTACAATTATACCGAGCTTTACATTCTTTGGAACATATATCAAGACCCAGTTAAGGGGTATACTCTCCAACTGTACCAGTTTGACGGTACACCGTTACCACCTCAATATCTCGTCACCACTTCACCCAACATGCTTCCAACTCAGCCTCTCCGGAATGTCAGCACAATCACCACCACCAGCGCCATCGTCAAAAATGCGGCAGTCGTCAACGCCAATGCTGGGGAGCGTCGATGGGAGGTGGCGAGCATGACAGGTTTGCTTACGGTGATTTCCGGTCTTGGACTAGCTGCTCTACTATTGTAGAATGGGACATGATAATTATACCTGCACGCCACCGTCGTACTTTTTATACCTATCACACTTTTTTGCATTGGACCCTTTGGACATATTCCTACCTGCATCGTCATGGATCCTTTTGTTGATGCAACATGGATACCTTGTGATCGACCGCAGTAGACGCTCGTTTGATATGTGCTCTAGTCCTTTGTTTTAGTATTACATCCACTGGGTTGGATAATGAAGACACTTACACGTCACAGGGAGCTTGTGGTGTAATACTGGAGCTGGACGCTTGCATGCCGTGATCGTGGGCGCCTTAAAATGTCAGCTCCACGTTGATTAGCTAAACTTTCTTTAGTGCTGCGGTTTGGCTGCGGTTCTCTTTGCCAAAACCAGTAGTTGCACCCGTCGTCCTCTGTTGCAACTGCCCCCTTCAATGATCGCGGCTTCCCCCTTGCTCCAGGCTTCGCTCAACCACTGCACAGAAAACGGACCCCCACTGTGATACCATGTTTGGCAGCTTTCCTTTCTGTCAACCGGCGACTCTAAACATTTTCGCTCGGTGACCCAGCTGCATATGCGGGAATATAGAAATCACCGATCCAGTCTCAGGATTTCAACGCAGGGAATCCCTCGTCGACATTTCACAAGCTGGTGGCAGCATCACTGCTAGATTACACACGTCGAAGATTCCTCCCGCCCCAAGACTCGGTCACCGTGCGCCAGATAGCAGGTCGTCGGCGGGTCTAATTTGAAAGCTCGAGACGTGGTGAACTGGCAATTTCGGAATCAAAGAAATTCGATTCGCCGCCTCAATCATAGGATATGCACATCCACGACGAAATTTTATTCGACAAGTCAATTCATCCAGCTGGCTAGACCCTGAGTGAGTCTAAACTTAGGATTTTATCGTAGGTTCGGTGGCGGTACATCGATCATCCCGAGTCACTTACAGTCACGGTGGCATTTGATAACGAGATTGATGCATTCTGGAATTTGTGGTAGGGGCTAGAGTGGTTGCCTGAACTGGTTGTGCGATGGTTCGGACGACAGCGTTTCACTCGGTTCATTTGTGTGTAGATCGTTATGTAGACTTTGCCAGCTCCGCTCACTTCGGTTGTCGGCAATCCTTCTTTTGGTGATGGCTAGCAGAATTGTTAGAGCTTAGGACGTGGTGAAGTGATGATAGCATAATTAAAGGTCCCATTCAGAACTTCTCGGGTAGTCGAATTTACCGAACCACCAGTTTGAATCTAGGTAGTTTGAAGTGGGTGTAGAACTCACCTTTTTTCTTCTCTGCTTGTGTTGATAGCGATATCAGTATTTGATGGAGTGGATAGTTGCCTGTCTTAGATATTTTATACTCCAAGCTGTATTTCTCGAGGGGCAGTCATGAAGATCGGCAGCCAGCTTCCTGGCACTGTTTGCTCAAAATGATTCGCTCTTTGCATAAAGAAGATGAGGCACGACGTCGCGGATCTAACGTCCAATATTTGTTCTGTGGGTGATTGAAAATATCGATTATATATTTATTAGGGACCTTCTAGGTGAATTTCATCCAAAGGCTGGTACAGCTGACCGCGGAGGAAGTCCAAACTCACATCTGTGTTGAGCACAGCTCGGTGGAAATCCATGAGTTACTGGGACTGATATCAAAATTCATGCACGTTCCTCCATTTGTAGAAGGAAGTATGGAAGGCCTCCCGTCCTGGTTATGCGATCCCGCGGCCTACACCACAATTTCAGATTGCGTAAAGAACCGGAGATATCGAATTACACATATAGGTGAAATGAAGTCAATGAAGCAACTTAATTGGGGATTGACACTCACGGTGAACGGGCCAAAGTGTACATTGGTGTCGATTGTATAGGTATTTATCGCGCGGTAGATGAGAACAGCCAGAGGCGAACAGTGCCATATGACCAGCGCCATACTAGGTTTGTTCCTAGCGATCACCGATGATGCGAGTAAGACGGCGCAAGTCAGAGAAGTTGACATATCTGCCGAATAATGAGATCGTCTCTAGTCATATGAGAAGAGCCCTCGAAGTTTGGTTCGGGTGTCCCCGCGAGTAATGCTGATGATCATTCGCATTGCCACTAGTGGTGATTATCGTGGCAGGTTGGATGCATTGAATATAGTGACAGCAGCAAATTGTATACGTTACCGTCGGAGTCAATGTTAGTGATATTTTGTACGCTGACTTGGAAAGTGCGTACCATGATAAAGGACCAGTGATTGATTTGAAATCTGGTTAAAGACCCTAAATGTGTAAAACATATGAGTTTGTCGACTCACTGGCGAGGAGACTCACATAGATAAGCGAGCCTCGACCTAGAAGATAATGTCGATAATTGACAAAGACTGGCCATGGAAAGGAAACAGTACTTGTTGAGTAGCCGCAGGTAGCCGCCCGATCGGAACCGGAACATGACTGATGCGAATAAATATGGGAAAGAAGTCGCACGCCTGTAAATTGGCGATTGCTCCGAGAAGTCGTTTATTTAAATTCTCGTGCCTCTTAATTCTTCCCTTGTCGCCATTTCCCCTCATAGGCCCCATACTCACATCCTTCTACCGTCATTTGCATCGATTTTCTTTGTGTCATTACATTTTATTTTTCATCGCTATCGAGCTCAGATCATCGTTCATTTCTACAAAGCACTTTCCATGACCTCAGGTCTCCTCAAATCTTCATCTCCTGCATCAACTACGGCGTCGCTGTCTAAAGTTACATCGCAATATGAGCGTCTACCTCCAACTCGGGGTTGGTCACCATCTCCGAAATCACCAGAAGAACACCAGACTACAGCACCTCAGACAGCTTCCGGCTCGGATCTTGACCAGGACATCTCGCTGCAACTAATCGCAAGCAATGATGAGCATGCACCTCTCTCAGAAAGCGATGATGTCTCCATGTCACCAGCAATGATGTTCTTATCTGCATTTAGTCCCTCCGCAATCCCACAATCACCTGATGCAGAAGGTCAAGTCATCCGTGGCTATGTTCTCGGGCCAATCATAGGTTATGGGGGATTCTCTGTAATCAGGCGCGCCTCATCCCCTTCCGGAGGTGTCGTCGCTGTCAAAATTGTCCGTCGCTCCGATTTGGAGAAACAGACAGATCCTTCTTTAGCTAGAAGGCGACTCAGTCATGAAGCCCAAATATGGGCTTCTCTATGTCACGAGCATACCTTGCCCCTCTTCTTTTCCGAACACACTTCCTACGCCGATTTCTTCTTCTCCCTCTTATGTCCTGCAGGATCCCTATTTGATATACTTTTAAGAGACGGTCGTCCCGCTCTCCCTCACGATGACGCCGGCATGATGTTTCGACAAATTGTACGAGGCGTACGTTACCTGCACGAAGTCGCAGGCTATGTACACAGGGATATCAAACTCGAGAATGTTCTTGTAGATGAGATGGGTATATGTAGAATTTGCGATTTCGGCATGACTCGCAAGATCGGCGAAGTTGACGACGACGAACCCCTATCCGGTGCAGACAGTCACTCTAGCACCCATCGTCACCGTTCCACTTCTATCAGACCCAAATTTCACATGTCTTCGCACCTCTCAATACTACGCCAACATGGTCCTAGGCGTCATCGTACATCAACTCCTATCGGCGAAAACCCTCCGCCTGTGCATCCATCACATGTTTTCCAGCAAGGGTCTTTACCATACGCATCTCCAGAGCTTCTTCAACCCAAACCTTCACGGTTAAAAGGTGCTAATCCAGCTCAGGACATATGGGCCCTGGGTGTTCTGCTTTATGCACTTCTGACCGGCCGTCTCCCGTTTTCCGACTCATTTGAGCCACGACTCCAGATGAAAATTTTGCACGGTAAGAATATAGTATCGTGATCTCCGGATTGCTAATGCACTTTTTTTTGACAGGCGTCTATGACATGCCTTCTGGTATTAGTCGTGGAGCTGAGCATGTTCTCAAAGGCTGCTTGGAGCGTAACGTCCGTAACCGGTGGACGATTGCGGTAGTGGATGAGATGGCTTGGGGTGTTGGGCTTGACGACGACGACGACACATCTCCTGTAACAGACAAGGATAAATTTAAGTTAGTAGATTATCCCAGCCACCGATCTCCATCATTATCCCAGTCGCGCTCGCGCCCTCGTGCCTGGCGTGATAACAAGCCGAACCCATCTCATACTGAAGAAGCACCCCCAAGGCGGTCCAACCGTTCCCTCTCTCGTACCTCTATCTCAACTGCAAGCTCGATCTCAACACGATGTACCAGTCGCAGTATCTCCCGTCCACCAATCGTTCGTTACCCGATGTCTCCCACATACGACGAACTCAGTCATTCAGTGGTGAGCGCCTCGACGTCTCTCTCTGTGCCGCCTCTTGACATAGGCGGCCCTGCTCTTCTTGCCTCGCCAGGGCCATCACCTGAGCGTGGCCGGAGATCGAAGAAGGCGGCATTTATACCGCTCAATCGGTTTACATCATCATTAGCGACGTCTTCTCGCCAATCAGAATATGCCCCAGAATCCGGAGATCTCGATGCTGATGTAGACGTGTTGGGCAATACCGCTCACTGGACATCTACTCTAAGCATCAACGCTGTTGCAGAACCTACTGCCCGTAGTGGTACAACCACTGCGATCGAGCGTCAGGATGCATTGCCACCACAAACACATAAAAGGGCCGAGAGCACACCTCCGGCGTCAGGTGCCTGGCCACGGAGATCGCGACTTCACATTAAGGAAGATCCTTCTTCCTATCGCGGAGCAGAAATTCACGGAGTAGGCGGATTCCTTAGAGACCCCAGCACCACTCCCATACCAATCACGCCCAAAGGCGGTACCCGAAGCCGGAGCGTAGGACATGATACCCATCATACCTACGGTCGCGCTAACTAGCTGTATCCCCCACTCTTCTATTCACCAAAAATTGCAATTTATCTTCTGGGGACCATCATGTTTGTGAGTTGCTGACACGATCGCTATTTATCCTGCTTTTTGTCTTTGTTCGAGTCATAGTTGTATTTTGTATTCAATCCTGAGGACTGCCACTAAGTACATACTCGTCTGTTTTTTTGTCATGTTTTTGATTTTAGAGCACTTGGTGCTCGGGATACTTACTCTTGGTGGAAACACTTCTATTACGCATGCCTTACTTATCAGATTGTACTACTAGTCTGTCCGTCAGGGAATCTCGAGCGCCTCATTCACATTACTGCCTGTGTGGAACAAATTCGTGATATAGCGAGCAGCAATATACAGATAAAGAGCACAGTCGCTACATGGTGAGTTCCATCGGAGCATGACCGCTAGCTGTAACTATCACGTCGTCTGCTGCCACTTTCTGAGCCTTACGTTCAGCAGCCTTGGCCTGGAGTGTTCTTACATCGTCTTGCAATTTGGCCTGAAGAGGAACTTAGCTGAACCCAGAACTAGTGATGCCGGGACGTACAATTTTAACCTCTAGTTCTGCTTTGTCAAACCCCTCGTATATTCTTTTTGATGACGAAGGTTTTTTGTTGTCTAATGAGTGATGTACCTGAGAATGATCTGATGGAGATAGCATGTAGTATTCTTACCAAAAGCTGCATGCCTGAAAACTTCTTCCATTAACTCGTGGTTTCTCCGATATCTCGCAATTGCTAGCGTCCGTGTGGATAGCATCTCAGATTCATCTAAACAAATGATCAATGCGAATAACGCCCAACTGAACAGACAAAGTGGTCGAACCTGCGGATTCGTCATCATCCAGCCGTGGAGGACCAGGCCGTTGCTGAACCAATAACCAAAACATTGAATAAATGTTCCCCCGATAATAAGCAGGATGATACTCACGCCCACCCCTACGCCCCCACTCCCATCCCTCGGTCGTTCACGCTCCCTCCTCCTCTCCAAAGCTTCCATGTTACTGTTTTGCTGCGTTATCATCGCCTGTGGGTTCATTCCAACTTGGGGCGGCATACCGCCTTGATGCGGACCTGCAGGGTGTGGAAAGGCTTTTTGACCCGCTCTATCGCCCATGACATATATAGGAGGGTCGGTGATTTGTCGTAGTGGGTAGTGCCTGACGGGGTTATTCAAAAGAGACGGAACGATCTCTGGAGTGCGGGAGGTGTACAGATAGATGTAGATGTAAAGATGTGGCGAAGTCACAGATATATCGGATGATGCGCGATGATTGGTGAGAAGGTCGAAATGATGATATGGTAGTGGAGAGACTTACGGATAGGTGGTACGCGGGAGTAGTGGACTAGCACTAGTTGGGGGTGGCCGCCTTTGTGAAGGCGGTAGCGTCGGCGCATACGCCATGCTGCTGTGTCTTGGGAGTTGGGTATGAAGCCGAATTTGATTTCTGCGACTTCTAGTTCCTAAAGAAAGGTTAGACTTGTTGATGGAATAAACGAAAGGGCTGAGACGCACCCGTGCACCGCGTTGGACAGGCATAGTATATCGACTCTCTTGGTCTTGCCATCGGATACCGTCGTTTAGAGGTTGAGCGGGGTTTGGCATGAACAAGAGGTATATTTGACCCTCTTCATACGGCGTAGAAGCGATGGAACGTTAGTTCGCGACCGAGGTCCTGAGTACTATTCATACCTTGTGGCTTGTCGATAAAAGTCCATGTGTAGGGTTGGTTTTGAGAGGTTTGAATGGCACGGAACAGCATGTTGGCTGCATTTTCTAGGGAGACGTTTGGATGAAGGCCGAAGTCTTCTGGGTATTTGAGTACGGGAGCCTCTTGTTGCATTTGCTGGAACGCCATTCTAGTCACGGTTTATTAGGTTGGGCTACTATTCCTTGCCGAGGCGTTGTTTGGTTTCAAGGCTGTTGGCAAACAAACAGTCACGTGTGGGCAGATTCGTTGGGATAGTGACGTTGACCAGTCGGATGATGCTGCACAGTGCAAAGTAGGCATTCCCGCTTCAATCGCTTTGGACCAAAATAAAGGCCTTTCTATCGCCATATAGGTTCATCCAAAGGGGCTGAGCGCTGAGCGCTCTCAGCTGTACAAGGCAGTACTTGTTAGTACCTCGCCCCGAACAAACAACCACGACCGACTCAAAGTAAGTATCAGTACTCGAGGGCAATTGAAGATTTAACAAATAAGAGCTTTGAAAGTTCCTTTAGGTCCGCGGCGACTTTCTTTGTGCCTCAATTGATGAAACCTATGCAAGTTATATATAGTTATTAGGTGCGTTATGTGTATAGTTTGACCAAAAACCTTCGGAATAGAGCATGACTATTGCCCAAACTACTGCCTTAGGTTCAGCTGTATCTTTTATTAGGTTGCTCCCCGGCCGGTAAATCGGTGAATCACGATGGCGAACCATTCCATCACAATCACCGCAATTGAGCTCAGGCTACGTCAAAATATGATCCCATCATTTGCATTTGCACTGCACCGGCCTCCTTATGGGCTCACAGCCCATTCATAAGGGATAAAAAGGCGGGCGATGTGTGCATGTGTGTGAAAAACACAATATTTCACCTTCAGATGGAGTATTCGGCTAACGAGATCGCAGAAGCGAAGAGCTTGCAGTTCGCTACGGTGTGTTTCCTTTGTCTATGAAAGCGAATTATAACTGATAAGTCATGCACCATCAGTACATATTCAGTGTGTACTGTCTTAGAATCTATATTCTTTGTCCTAACACAGTTCAGCGTCGATTATTACGTTCTGGGTAGGCTTGTTTTCATCTATTCACGTCCGCTGTCAAACTCGTTTGTCCAGATATATGACTATGCATGTTCACTTCATGAAGAGGTAATACACCTGTTCCGTCATATGCCTCATTTTTGATATCGACAATATGTTGCGCAAAGTGGACGTTTTTGCTTCGATCGCACTGGAGCAAGATGAAAGGCCTCTATATTGTTACACGATACCTCCCATTTATCCTTCTCGCCACGAACCTATATCGTGCGTTCCGCTCCAGCACACATCGTTTCGATAATGAAGTAACACTTGGTTTTCAGGGAGCTTTACCCCGAATGAGGCCTCAAGTGTATGTGATGGTGGAGGATTAATGAAAACGAACGGCTTATTGTACGACTTCAACAGAGATGCCGGGAGTTGGACGATATTAGCTCAGGTACGTGCATGGCACATTCACGTATGCGCGTCGTTGACGAAGGCTGCTACTTTCCTCTCACAGGTCTTTGCATAATATTAGACATTTTCTCAGAATGTATCTCTCATTCCCCCGTACTATGTGTGTGTGTTTCTCATTCGATTCATCCAGTTTTTTTCATCCTCAGGACGCATGTGCTCTGGAACAAAAATAGAATCTTGCTTGCAACCATGTTGACCACTTTTTTCGTGAGTTCTCATCCAATCACTATAACCAAGCCAGTAGTAAATACATCAGCCAGACTATTCTCATAGCATCCTTCGCCATCGCCTTCGCCACTACCGCTCCCGCAGCATGTACGCGTTCTCACATACCCTCTGGCGTTCCACGACCACTGAAACATTCTGCTCACGTTCACAGATACGACTAGTACGATCCCGGGCATCACAGGATGCTATCAGAGTTCGAACAATTTCTGGTATTTCATGCCATATCTTCTCCTTTCCATGTTCCAACTGGGTGGGTAATCAGGAGCATGCATATGTAAAAGCACCCGCTGACAGATGTGCTCCCCAGGACTCATGATACTCACGCTCATACGCGCCATACAGAACTGGCGGAAAAACTCAAGCCGTCTGTTTGTTGTGCTAATGAACCACAACTTATCCTATTATGCATGCGGTCTTCGTGAGTGACCACTCATATGCCGTTTTTTCCGTACTCATCCATGATGATTCTCTCTCCTGAAGTGTTCTCAGTAATGAACATATTCACGTCGCTGTTCCTCCAGGTGCGCAAATCCATTAAGTACCTTTTTTGATCAAGCCGTTGATGTTCTGCGCCCCAGTACTCCTACCACAGCGTGTTGTATGTGTAAGTACCCCCACATCCTGCTGCATATTTCTACTAACAATACCCGAAACGTACACGCACGTATAGATTCCAGTTTATGATCCTTGCAATCCTGGCCACGCGCATGCACCTCCACCTCTGGCATACGAACCGACATGCACACGGCTCTGGCGCCGTCACGAGTATTCCAATGACCGACGTGCCACCCATACATTCCACGGCGTGACGTCTTATTCTATGGCTTATTCGGCGTCGTTCTTGGAGCGAGGCTTGGACCTTACAAGATGAGGGGTGGGGTTGGGTTTAGTAGAGTTTGTTACGTGCTTAACTTATAGGATGAGTCTGTCGCGGGGTGGGAGGGACATTTGGATGGCCTTGGTCCATTTGACATCAACCTCTGTATGTGTAATTTCTGCTTAACTGGCAACATGGATCCATATATGTCCCCTCCATGCGTCATTCTATGACTTTCTCACTGAAAAATTGCGCAGTCGTCATTTTTTGTTGATAGGTCGTTGGTACAGGGCGATCTTTTCTTTGCTTCCCATAGGGTCATGGACTCGAAGCGCGGGCTTCGTTTCAACATCTGGGGCACTGATGTGGCAGCATTTTCCTTCGAATCATCACTCGCCAAGGGAGTAGAAGCCTTCTTTGATGAAGAAGGTTTTCTTTGGTAGTTGGAAGCACTGGTTCTGATGAAAGGCTTCGGTGGTCCGACAGTGACCCTCTCATCTATCACAGATTGGTTTTCGGTGTGTACCTTAAGCTTATTCCTTGCCCAATGAATTCTTACGAGCAGTGGGGTTGTAGGGTCATGCTGAGTTCACGCAAGTTGGTGCTTGAGCACACCAGGCGTCCAGTGTTGTGCACTGGGGGAGCTCCCAGGATGAGCTCTACAGCAACCAAAATACATTTGATCATCTACGTTTTTTTGAGTTAAGGATAACACAGCACGTCTAACGTGAAACAGATGTCGGAAGCGAAGAACCGAATAAATGACCACTGAGCGTAGCGCCAAGGCGTTGTTGGCAAACAAACAGTCACGTGTGGGCTGGTACGACTCGGGCCAAGGATACTTGTTGATTGATACTATTCAGCTTCGATCGCTCTGAACCAAGGTAACCTTTCTGTCGTCATATGATATATCCGTTCATTTAAAGGGTAGTACCAACAAGCTGCAGAAACTACCTCAAAACAGGACCCGAAAAACGACGATGACCAAGTACTAAGTACTAGTACTCGATGGTGGTTGATCTCTCAAATCAGAGATTTGGAAGTTCGTTTAGGTCCCTCCGAGTCTTGGCGCTTTAATGTATTAAACCTTGGGCTTCATAAGCTTCATATATCAAGGGCCGGTACAACGAGTGTGGCACGCGGCGAGTTTCTGAATCAATCAGTTGATCAAACCTATGTAAGTTATATATAATTCTTAGGCGCCCCATGTAGTTTGACCAAAGACTGAACAATGGATGTGCCTCGAAATACAGCGAATTATGATGGTGGAAAACTTCATGACGACCATTGGCACAGCGCCTTGATGGTTCCACAGCTCATTCATAAAAGTTAAGAAGTCGCATGATGTATATGTGAACCCCATTTTTTAACCTCTTAGATGGATTATTCGACCGCCGATACTAGTATCGCAGAAGCGAGGAGCTTGCAGTTCGCTGCAGTATGTCTCCTTTTCAATACGAGGGTGAATCATTATTGACAAGTTATGTACTGTCAGTACATATACAGTGCGTAGTATCTCGATTTCATATTCATATTCTTTGTTGTTAACACAGTTCAGCGTCAATGGTTACATTCTGGGTAGGCTTATTTTGATCTAGTTGCGTCCACTGTCAATCTCGCTTATCCAGACCTATGATTATGCACGTTCACTTCATGAAGAGGTAATGCACTTGTTCCAGGACGCACTTCGCTTTCTATACTCATATTATGCCGTGCAAAGTGGACATTTTTGCTTCGATCGCGCTGGACCAAGATGAAAGGCCTGTATATTGTCACACGATACCTCCCCTTTATCATTCTCGCCATGGATCTATATCGCACGTTCCGCTCCAGTACATCGCCCCAAGATGAACTAACACATGTTTTTAGTGAGCTTCACCCCGAATGACAACGTATACGTATGTAATGCAGTGGAGAGTTAAAGAGGACGAACAACTTATTCCATAACTTCGCCAGAAATGCCGAGTATTCGACCACATTAGCTCAGGTGCGTGCATGGTACGTCTGTCTATGCACAGCCTTGCTGAAGGAAGCGCACTTTCTCTCTTACAGGGTTCGGCATGCTATTGGCCGTTTGCTCCGAGTGTATCCCCCCCTCCTCCCAAACTTATGTGTGTTTCTGATGTGATTCATCCAGGTTTCTTTATCCTGAGAACATATGTGCTCTGGAACAAAAATATAATCTTTCTCGCAGCCATGTTGTCCACCTTTTTCGTGAGTTCCTAATCCACTCACCATACCCAAACCAGTGGTAGATGCATCAGCCAGACTTTTCTCGTAGTATCTTTCAGCATTGCTGTCGACATTAGCGCCACCGTAGCATGTACGCACTCTCACCCTCCCTCTGGTGTTCCACGACCACTGAAACATTCTGTTCATATTCACAGATGCAACTAGCGCGATCCCAGGAATCACGGGGTGTTATTGGAGTTCAACAAGTTACTCACTCTTTATACCGTTTCTTCTCTCTTGCGTGTTCGGACTGGGTGGGTAGCCAGGAGCAAATTTATATGTACAAACACGCGCTGACAGATGTTTTCCCCAGAACTCATGATACTCACGCTCATACGCGCCATACAGAACTGGCGGATAAACTCAAGCCGTCTGTACGTCGTCCTTGTGAACCATAACATATCCTATTATGCATGCGGTTTTCGTGAGTTAACTTGTATGCGTTGTTTTTTCCGTACTCAACCATGATCATTTCCTTTTCTGAAGTGTTCTCGGTAACGAACGTCTTCATATCGCTGCTCCTCAAGGTGCGTGAATCCATTAAATGTCTTTTATGATTGAGCCATTGATGTTTCGCGCCCAGTACTCCTACCACAACATGTTGTATAAGTATGATCTTCCACATTCTGCTGCGTACGCCTACTAATAATCCCCGAAACGCACACGCACATCCAGTTTCCAGTTCATGATCCTTGCGATCCTCGCCACGCGCATGCACCTTCATCTTTGGCGGACGAACATACATCCACATGGCTCTGGCGACGTCGTGAGTATTCCAATGTCCGACATGCCATCCGTACATTCTACGGCGTAACGTCTTATACTGTGGCTTATTCAAAGTCGTTCGTGAAGCGAGGGTTGGACCGTACAATATGATTTGTGGGGGTGGGTTTGGTAGTGTTCGCTACGCGCTTAACGTTAACTTATAGGATGAATCTGTTGTGAGGTGGATGGTCTTCGTTTATTTAACACCTGTAGTTTCCACTGTAAGCAGCGGCAGATTCAGGATCCAGAATTTGAGTGTCCTAGAGCCAGAATCAAGAAGTAAGAGTTGATGACACGGTCCTGCCATGACATCACAACGAGCGAGGTACAGGAGCGTACTCATGTCGACATGGTCAAACGTTCTTGCTTGCATGTATTTATTATTACAAAGGTTATTCAAAACATTCCAAAGAGCAATCGCGTTAGCACGCGTCAACATCTATATATTCCTCTAGCAAGTACATTAGCTAAGTACGAACGATGTAAGTAAAGTTTACTGACCTCAGTGAAACTAGACAGTGCCATTGAGGAAGCTGTACGACGAACGATTAGTCATGTAACCTAAAACAGACAAAGCGAATGTTAGAATGTCCAACCGATTTCTCAGTAGAGTCATATCTATTGGACTCCCGCTCGGATGCCGGACATTTTAACTTCGTGCGGCAAGATCACATCAGATGGATAGCACCATATATCTACATCAGCAACATCAAGACCGGCAAGTTTGTTGTGACCATATAAACGATTAGAATCGGATAAGGTGGATCGCGGTTTGCAGGGATAAAACCAACCGAAATGCTGTATGGTGGCATGAACCTGTGAATGGATGATTAGCGCCGCCTCCTGGAGTACATGCCTGTTGCCCGCGGGACATGAAAAATTCGCCTCCTTTGCCACTTTGCCCCAAAACAACGCTAGTAGACCAGCAAATGAGATGTGGTCAACTTCTTATCTCCATAATTGGTCACCACCCGTAGCAGAGTCAGATTGATCCACCGGAATGCAGTAATGACATATGGAGCTTCCAACCCCGGCGCAAGCCGAGGAACCAGCTCCAACGCGCGAACCTTGAAAGCTAAGGAACCGAATCCAAAGCACAGGTTTCAAAGACACGGGAAGGGGCTTTCGAATTTTGTCTTCTTGCACGACAACATCCAGCTTGTTGGACAGGGACAATGAACATATTCATATTGTGTGGGAACCATCAGAAGGAACCATTAGGAGGCAATGCAGATTCATTTGCATAAATGATCAATTCGGATAACGCTCACCTGAGCAAACAAGGTGATCTGGCCTGGGGATTCGTCATCATGTAGCTGCGGAGGACCAGGACGTCGCTGAACTAAAATAGCAGACAGATGTTTCTCCGATAGTGGGATATACTCACGTCAACCACTACGCCCTCACTCGGATCTTAACCGTCAGAGCTCGCTGTTGTGTTTATCATGGAGCGAAACCCGAAAGGTGGCAGGCTGCAGACAGGGCACCGAAGCTTGCTGGAGTATAGCCTGGGCGCTGTATGGTAGGTGGAGAAGAGAAGCCACGTGCTGCACAACGTCCTTATTCTAACCCTACACTCATCACTTCGGGGTAAGATTACAATTTTGGTGTGAATGTGGTGTATATTGGTGGAGGGACTTGCCTTTGGGAGGTACACGGGAGTAGTGAACTAGCCGCCATAGTTGGGGGAGGCCGCCTTCATGAACGCAGTAGCGTCGGCACATACGCCATGCTGCTGTGTCTTGTGAGTTGGGTATGAAGCCAAATTGAGCTTCTGCGACTTCGAGTTCCTGAAGAAAGATTAAACTAATTTACAAAATGAATAAAAGGGCTGGGACACGCACCCATGTACTACGTTGGACAGGCATAGTGTATCGACTTTCTTGATCTTACCACCCGATACCATCGTCCAGAGGTTGAGCGAGGTTTGACATGAACAAGAGGTATAATTTCCCTTCTTCATACATCGAAGAAGCAATAAAACGACTGAGTCAGGTTTATCGATAAAAGTCAGGAGACATTTCTTGCACAATTGGTTTCAAGCTGTCGACAAACATGGACAATCACGTTGTGCCACGATCCTGAGGTTTCTCGGACTCGGATACACCAAAATACACCGATACCTTGTTGATCGATGCTACTCAAAGTGGGCATTCCCGCTTCTATGGCGGCCCCGGCTATCGCCCTGGAAAAACGTTAAGGCCCTTTCTGTCGTACATGATATACGTTTATCCAAAGAGGTTGAGCCTCCCCCGTATTATAATGATTGAAAGCTATTACTTCAATATGGAACCCCAAAACAAAAACAACGACCACCGAGTAACGGTACTAGCAATCGAGGGCAGTTTAAAATCCCTCAATTAAAGCTCTGGAAGTTCCTCCAAGTGCCTCCAAGGTCTTGGCGTTTCAAGGTAGCAAACTTTGAGCTTCAGAAGCTTCACGAATTACTTCAGCTTGACTAGGATGGGCCAGTACATGGCGGCCAGTCAATGTTTGAGTGTGCCACGAGGCGAGTTTCCGAATCAATCTTTGTGCTTTAGTTGATCAAACCTATGCAACTCAGTATTAGGTGCGTTCTGCGTTTATTACGTAGTTTGACTAAAGACCACAAACTGTAAGTATGTGCCTCAGCATAGAAGATAACTATTATTGAGCTTACACTGCCTCCTTGATGGGCTCGCAGATCATTCATAAGAGCTAAGAAGGCGCATGATGTGTGTATGAATCACATTTTTTGACCTCTGGATGGAGTATTCAGCTGAATATATCGCAGCAGTGAGGAGCCTGCAGTTCAATAAGGTATGTCTTTTTTATCAATATAAGGACGAATCGTAATTGACAAGTCATGTACCGTCAGCACATATACGGTCGGTACTGTCTGAACTTCGTATTTATATTGTTCTAACACAGTTCAGTGTCGATGGCTACATTCTTGGTAGGCTTATTCTCATCTATTCACGTTCGTTGTCAAACCTGCTTATCCAGATCTATGATTATGCATGTTCGCTTCATGAAGAGGTAATACACTTGCGGCACGGGTACCAATGACCTGATGAAAGTTCCTGCGATACAGGCGAAAACGGTCGCCATATGGGAGCAAAGGCAAAGAATCCTTCCAGCCAACAAGTTCTCCGGCCATAGGAATAACAGGACGGTCAGAGTATAAAGTGCTTTTGCTGTCCATCATTTCCATTGCAGTCTTAACAGAGTTCAGCACGATGATGTGCCGACCCTGAACCTCGATGTGGGTAATATCACCTGCAGAACAGACTTTTAAAGATGCATGATTTTGGAAGAAGGGAGGCACTCACCATACTTCTGACCCCACTCAGTAAATGTCAGCCAGGGTTTGGTGCGAGGCATATCTAAAATATTGCCGATGAGAGGCCACCCCCGGGGACCAGGTGGATATGGTGCAAGATTCTTCTTGAGGACGAAGGTCTGCTTTACCAAATAAATTCCAACTGTAGCAACACCGGTAAGGCATAGTAAGTCCAGCCAAGTAACACTGGTGGTTGTCAACATGGTCTACTACTAGCCAAGGATGGCTCGGAGCAACTCAAGAACAGCGGATGTGGAGCGAATGATCAGATGAGCAGGAGACATCTTGTATTTAAATCAGAATGAATCAGCAGGTAACACATTGAAATGAGTGGTTCCCTGAGGCCGTTCAAGTTCCAACTCGCTGCCTGGCAGGACTTACCTTATGTTAAAGTTCTCGGTTCGAACTCTTGCTGAACCGAAATCGGACCATTATCGGACCGAACCGGCTGCAAACTCCGCACTCTCATTTGCACGAGGAGTCCATCTTCATCGTATTTGGTGATACCCTCATTGTATGTTTCTTCATCTTGTTTTTTTTTTCCACAGTTGACTTGACAACTCTGCACCCTGTCCCATCGTCCCTCTCCCCCTCGTCGAAAACCCCACTCTTGGGACATTTAGATGTTTACCGCAACGGTTCGGCGCTCCTTTTTTGGTCTCAAAGCACACTAGCACCGATGACCATCATGGGCGTCGACCAAAATGCTATTACTGTGTTGAAAATACCTCAAAATGGAACACTGAAAAACCAACGCGTTAACGACGACCGAGTAAGTACCAGTACCCGAGGCCCGAGGGTCCTGATTAAATAAGATGGAGCTCTCAAAGTTCTTTCGGGTCCCTCCAGGGTAACTTTGCGTTTCAAGTAACGATAAGGTATCAAACTTTGAGCTCAAAAAGCTTCATAAATCAGGGGTGCAGTGAGTTTCTGAATCAATCCTTGTGCTTCAGTTGATCAAACCTGTGTAAGTATTATGTGATTTGAGTAAAGACCGAATGATGTACGTGATTCGGACTCCGAGGAATAGAGCATGATCATTACTGAAACTACCGTCTCAGGCATCGGAGGTGCAACTCTATCTTTTATCAAGTCGCTTCCCGGCTGGTAGATAATTGTCGCCAGCCTCGATCCAAGCAAGCTAAGTTCAGACCCGAATAATATGATCGGTGTTTGCACTGGCACTGCCGCCTTGACGTGTGCACAGGCAGCACAGCTCATTCATCTTAAGAGCTAAGAAAGCGCACGATGTGTGTGTATGTGTGTGAAACACATTCTTGACCTCTAGATGGAGTATTCGACTGACGATATTGCAGCAGCGAGGAGCTTGCAGTTCACTATGGTCTGTATCCTTGTTGATATGAGGGCTAATCACAATTGACAAGTTGTGTACCATTGACACCAGTATATATACGGTGCGTACTGTCTCAGCCCTGTATCCTTTGTCCTGACACAGTTCAAACTTCAGCGTCCATGACCACATTCTGGGTAGGCTCATTCTCATTCATCTACTTCCGCTGTCGAAATCGCTTATCCAGACCTACGATTATGTATGTTCGCTTCATGAAGAGGTAATATACTTGTTCCATGATACACCTCAGTTTTGATATCCACAATATGCTGTGCACAGTTGACGTTCTTGCTTCGATCGCACTGGACCAAGATGAAAGTTCTGTATATCGTTACGCGATACCTCCCTTTTATCATTCTCGTCACGGGTCTATATCGTGCGTTCCGCTTCAGCACATATCGCCCAATGATGAGTTAACACTTGTTTTTCAGGGAGCTTTGTGCCGAATGAGAACACAGGTGTACGTGATGCGGTGAATAGTCAATGAAAACGAACGACTTATTGCATGCCTTCACCAGAAATGTCGGGTACTGGACAATATTGAATTATGTATGTGCATGGTACATTCATGCATGCACGTCCTCACCGAAAGCTACTACTTTCATCTTACAGATCTTGGCGTAGTATTAGTCATTTGCTCCGAATGTATCTCTCGTTCTTCCATACTATATGTGTTCTGATCCCATTTATTCAGGTTTTTTTCATCTTCAGAACAATATGTGCTCTGGGAAAAAAATAGAATATTGCTCGCAGACCATGCTTTCCACCTTGTTTGTGGTTCCTAAACCATTTACCATACCCAACCTAGTGGTAAATGCATCAGCCAGATTTCTCTCGTAGCATCCTTCGGCATTACCTTCTACCGCTGCCTGCTGCTGCCTGCATGTACATACTCTCACCTTACCTCTTATGTTCCACAGTCACTGAAAATTCCCGTTCGGTTTCACAGATGCGACTAGCGCGGTCCCTGGCATCACAGGATGCTACCGGAAATCGTCCAATTACCGGCTCTTCATACCATTTATTCTCCTTTTCGTGTTCGAACTGGGTGTGTAACACATATATGTACAAACACGCAACTGACAGATGTTCTCCCCAGGACTCCTGATGCTCACACTCATACGTGCCATACACGACTGGCGGACAAACCAAAACCGTCTGTATGCTGTCCTGGTGAACCATAACGTATTCTATTATGCATGCGGTCTTCGTGAGTTAACACTTGTACGCGCCGTTTTTCCCTACTCATCCTCGATCATCATCTTTTCTGAAGTGTTCTCGGTAGCGAATATCATCACATCGCTGGGTCCTTCAGGTGTGTGAATCCATTAAATACCTTTTTTGACCGAACCGTTGACGTTCTGCACCCCAGTACTTCTGTCATAGCGTTTCGTATGAGTATGTACCTTCACATCCTGCTGCGTCTTCCTACTGACGATACCCGAAACGTACACCCACGTATAGTTTTCAGTTCATTATTCTTGCAATCCTCGCCACTCGCATGCACCTCCATCTCTGGCAGACGAACCAACATTCACATGGCTCTACTGGCGCCTTCATGTATATTCCAATGTCAGACACGTCATTCTTAAATGTCGCAGCGTGATGTCTACTATTCTGTGGCTTATTCGGTGACGTTCGTGGAGCGAGGCTTGGCCCATACAAGATGATTGGGATTGGTAGGGGTAGGCTTGGTAGAATTTATTACATGCTTAAATTATAGGATGAGTCGGTTACGGGATGACGGGAGTATTTCGATGTCATTGGTCTATTTAACATCCATATTTTCCACTGTAGCAAGGGCAGCATGGCTGTTTGCTCTGCTTCTATCCGAAAACTTCATGAAGTCAGGCAACGTCTCGAACTCAGTTAGCGAGACAGTTACCACGACGCTCTTGAGGGAGTTGAAGACTGTTTAATATTAGTGGTACTCAATAACTTTTGAAACATCTTAAAACTCGCTTAGACACCCATCTAAACGCTTTGAACTCTCGCTGAGGTTTGAAAACAACCCGCTTGCAAGAGAAACATGCTCAGAGCCATAGGGACGAAGCCGGACCTTCAAAGACTTGTTATTTATCAAAAGCGTGCCATAGCCTATGTACATATAGGGGACAGTCGTACTTGAGAGAGTGCAAAAATAACCACCAAACTTATCAGCGGGACGTATTGCGCTACAGCGTGTTACAGGGTGCTACAAAGTGCTACAAAGCACTCTGTAGCAAATTATGTTTCCCTGATTTGGAGTTGAACTTCACTGAGGTTGTCTACTTTGCACGACTCAATTAGCTACCCTAACTAAATTGGTGGTACTACGCTCGGGAGTGCTACTATGCATGATATATATGCTCCTGGAGTCGAGCAAACCGTGTATTTTGATACTCACTGACGGATGTGGTGTGCATGGTTGATTCTGGGTTACAAATCAGCAAACCGAGGTTAACGTTGAACCGAGGTCATGGGTTTCCACGGTGGCCGCTAGAGTGCCAATATTTTTTATAACTTAAGCTAATCTACAAGATTGAAAATGATACTAGGCAACTTCGCTACCAACAACTCGAAGTCTCGAACGTTCTATCTGGAATTATGGAACCATTGCGGCGCGCGGGCTTCATCCGTTTCCAGACAGATTGATGGCCATGTGCTGTCAGAAGACACCTGGGGGAACAATCAAACATTATAACTGACATGATCATCCGTGATCATAGTCAGCAGGTCAGCAAAGCATTAACTCGTATCAGAGGTTATGTGTTGCCATACTATGACGAATGATTTGTGGCCCACTCTGAACTGACGTGTTTCAGAAACGAGTCATAAATAATCCGTCATAAATACCAGGACGTATAAGTATCAAGTATACGAGACACATTTCAATCATTCTCTCACTAAATCATCTCCTACCAGTGTCTGCGAGCTTCTCACATGTCAACTGACGCACTCTCCAAATCCACTCTCGATGATGGTGTCCGTATATTCCTTCTGTCACGTTGTTATGCCCTGAATATTCTCTAAAATATAGGTTATAGCAAGCATTCGTCAGAACATTGCCAATTTTCTTCGGCGTTGCGGTTTGCAGTATATAGACGTCGCAGTCAACGAAGCATACCACTCTGAATGCTGCCAGGAGGCTATCAACCGTGGCTTTCCGATGGACGGGAAATATTCCATCCGCGAATACATGGAGATCGGTGTGGCCATGTCATCTAACGCTTACGCGCACCTTCCTGACAACGCGGCCAAAATGTGGATGTGCCTCTTCACTGCTGTCGCCACCCGCGTCGATGACGTGATGGTCAGGGGAGAGGACATGGCGGATATGTACCATTTCAATGAGCGGTTTGTGAACTGCAGACCACAGGGTGATCCTATCCTAAATGCGCTCGATGTGATCTTGCGTGAGATCACTCGCTTTCATTCCCCGCTGGTGTCGGATCTTATCACTGCGTCCACAATCAACTTTATGTCCGCTAACTGCCTTGATGATGTGACTAAAGACATGCAGGTATGGTGTATATCTAAATAATATTGAATATCATAATTTTACCCCTATTATTAGATCTTGCCCAAGACTCCCTTGTACCCAGAGTATTCTAGGCTCCTAGGAGGCTTGACAGATGGATATGTGTTATTCATGTTCCCTTCCACGCTCCCAATTCAGGAATACATTCAATGTATGCCGGATCTAAGGACTGTCGTGAATCACACAAAGTAAGCACATCAATGACTTCCTGTTAGGCTTCCTAACCTGTTGTCATTCAGTGATATACTATCTTACTACAAGGAGGAGATCGGCGGTGACACCGCAAACTACTTGTCGCTCATGGCAGCCTCTCGTGCTTGCACTAAACAGGATGCTCTGCATGACTTAATCGAGAAAACTGTGCAAGCGCATCACAATATCCTCGACTGTCTCAGACCTTATAGTGAGGCTTATGACGCCTATGTCTGTTTTTTGAAGGGTATGTCAAATTTCATATTGCCTTAAAAAGGTACAAGATGAAGGAGATCATGGCCGAGATGTCCTCCCCTTCTTAGTGTGATTCGTTCCGACTTTCTAGAATGTTCTTCATCATATCTTGACTTAGTAGCCACTTGCACAGCACCTGTTAGCAGAGCGTTACTTGACTCATTTCTTGTAATAAGAGGCGGTAGAGGCTTACCATGCCAGGTGCATCAAGCGCACCCGAAGTTCCATTACGGACCTGTTTCGTACCTTTTCTCCGTCGTGCTGTCTCTTGTCGATGTTTTCTCTGTACAATTCTATATGATATGTTCAAAGGCAGTATGATATTGATCGAAGAAATATGACAGAGTGAACTAAGCAACCAGTACGATACGAGGCCATCGATGTATGAAGGAAAAAGATAGTAGTTGCTAAGTAGCTCACACTGAAAACTCAACGCCCAGGATGTTGAAAAACACCAAAAGCTTCTCCTGCCGCAAAAATAGTCCTATAAGTTAAGCGTCTGGCGAGCTCTACCAAGCCCACCAATCATCTCGTACAATATACACCTCGCTCGACAAACGATGTCGAGTAAGTAATGTGTCATGCCGTACACTCTACAGGTGACATGTCAGACATAGGAATTTGCATGAGTGCATCAGAGCCGCGTGTTTGATGCTTCATCTGCCAGAGATGGCGGTGCATACGCGTGGCGAGGATCGCGAGGACAATGAACTGGAAACTGTACGTGAATGTGCGTTTGAGGCATCGTCAATAAAATGTCATGAGAGGTTGTGGAGGTACATACTCATGCAATATAGCGTGGTAGGAGTACTGGGTGTGCAAAACATGAACGACTCAAACATCAAAGGCATTATGGAGATATACGCACATGGAGGAGCAGTGACGTGAATATGTTCGCCACAGAGAACACTTGAGGAAAGAGAATGAGCATGGAATAACGGCGCGTGCAAGTATTAACTCACAAAGACCACATGTATAATAAAATATGTTATGGTTCACCAGGACAGTGTACAGACGGTTTCTGTTCTGCTGCCAGCTCTGTATGGCACGTATGAGTGTGAGAGTCATGAGTCCTGGGGAGTATCTGTCAGCGTGTGTTTGTCTATATGTATACTCGTGATCACCCACCCAATTCGAATGCGCACAATAAAAGAAATGGTATGAAGAGCTGGAGACTAGTCGAGCTCTGGTAGCACCCTGCGATACCGGGGATCGCACTGATTGCATCTGCAAAAGTGGAGATAATTGTTGAATGGTAGTGGAATGCCAGGGGATAAGTAAGAACGCGTACATGTTGCGGGAGCAGTAGTAGCGAAGGTAACGCCGATAGATGCCCCGACAAAAGTCTTGTTTGATGCATTAATAGCTAGCTTGGGTGTTGCTAGTGAAATTTGGACTCACGAAAGCGGTTACAAGAATGGCTGCGAACAAGATTCTATTGTTGCTCCAGAGCGCGCATGTTCTTAGAATGAAAAAGCCTGGATGAATCTGATCAGGAACATACATATCGTAGTGAGGAGGGAGGGATACATTCGGAGCAAACAGCTAATAGCATGCTGAACCCTGTGAGAGAAATTGGACTGCCCTCAACGAGACAGCGCATAGATGGATATGCCATGCACGTACCTGAGCAAATATTGTCCAACACCCGGCATTTCTGGCAAAGTCAAGCAGTAAGCAACAATCATCCCACATAAAGTCTCGATTGTATGTTCACATACACCTGGGGTTTCATTTGGGATAAAACTCACTGCATGACGACATGTTAGTTAGTTCATTTGGCGGGCGATGTACGCTGGAACTGAACGTACAATATAAATTTGTTGCGAGAAGGAGAAAGGGGACATATCGCGTGACGATATAAAGGCCTTTCGCCTTGGTCCAGTGCGACAAAAGCAGGAATCTCCACTTCAAATCAAAGCAACATGAGATCCGGGGCATATCACGGAACCGGTGCATTACCTCTTCGTGAAGCGAACAAGCATAATCGTAGGTCTGGATATGCTAGGTTAACAGTCGAAGAGAACTCATCAGGACACACCCACCCAGAAAGTAGTTAGAGAAACTGAGCTGCGTTAAGACGATAAAGATCGAGTTCAGACAGTACGCACTGTAAATGTACTGATGCGCACATGAATTATTCGTCTTCTTATCGACAAGAAAGAAACGCACCTGGAAGAACAGCAAACTCATCGCTGCCGCGATATCATCAGCTGAATAGTCTGTCGACATTCCGGGTCGTTCAAGAGGTGATTGTTAACTTGGGTTTACGCCCCCTTCTGACTCGGAACTCTTATAAGAACGCATATATGCTATACAGTTAGGTAACACAGAGTTTTATTTGGGAACTCACATGTCACCGCGCTTGCTGTACTTGTCCACGTTCAACTTGAAGCTGGAGGGATTTGGTGGATTTCAAAGCTCTAATCTGTGAGACTAAACTTCTCCACGTAGGTCGCCCTAGTACTTATTGGGTTCTCGTTAGCTTTTTTTGAGGGAGAGTGCCAATCATTCTGCTCAACGTTCGTGAATGAACGGATATCTCATGTGACGGCAGCCATCAATGATTGACGCTGAGCTGTCAAGTAGACTCGAGTTATAAGATGCGGCGCAGACAGTACGCACTGGCCCATCTGACAGTTACACGAGTTCAATGACCACCCATAAATTGCAATGAGCGAATTCCGAAGCGTTGTGCTGCCTCAAGTCAGTAGATACGGAGTCCTGAGTTTTCTTTGGTCATAGACGACTCACAGCCTCATATGAGACGTTCAAGTGATGCGATCAAAAAACGTTTCCCAAACTCCGGCAAACACCTTAGTGTGATGTGTTTGTTTGGCAGAATCCCGATTGATAGTGAGCACAGCGTGAGAAACATTGACGGACACAGAAACCCATCACAAAAATTGCTCATACTAGACCTAACAATATATAGGTATATATATGGTGTCGACACTGTCAGCAATATCAGGGTTAGGGTTTAGTATGTCTGAGCAGACTTGGAACCTGAAATTTCCAATGGACGTAGCGTGTACGACGTGTTCTAGGCAAATAGATTATTATCTCAATTAGATTATTATCTCAATTAGATTATTATCTCAATTAGATTATTATCTCAATTAGATTATTATCTCAATTAGATTATTCAGACATTGTGAATCACACAGAGATATTCAGTTAAAGTCAAATATTAATTGTCATCATGATAGTACAAAGTATTGTAAGGCGCTGCAATGTAAAGAACCTGCTGCACTAGCAGGGTGTCACTGAATGAGAGAAAACATGCAAAGCAATGTCAGAAGTAACGAGAACACAACATCAAAAATCCCAGCGCGAGAATGAGGCAAAGTCCAATTTGAAAAAGATTCGAGAAGCGCCGGTCGCCAAGTCCAGAGCAATGGGGCTTCTTCCTTGATGAGAAGGAAGCGTAATAGAGCCTGGAGCGAGTAATTAGATGAAAATTCTGATGAATCGATCGCAAATATTGTAAACATACCGATCTATTTCCTGCATGCCACACGTTTGGGACGACCTGGTGCTTTCTTCTTGCCCTTTCTGATGGTACTGATGTCATCGCCATCGGACAGAGCTTCGTTTGGCGTCAGTTCACTGGGCGCAGGCGACTTTGATGGGCCGGGGGCATTTGCCAATTGGGGCCTGGGAGATCGATTGATCGACATTGAAGGAGGTTCCGGATCCGGGGTGACAGAACTTTGAGGTGGTGTAGGGATGGTAGGTCCGGGCGTTTTGGGTGCTGCCGCAGGTCGAGGTTCGGGTGCCGCAGGTCATTTGGCTGCACTTGCGCGAGCGGCCATCTGCGCTCGCATCTTGGCCAGACCATTGACCGGAGCCAAGGAAGATCCAGCCATGTCGCCTGGTCCGTTGTCGTCGGTTATGGCCATTCCACCTTCGCGTCCGTTTTCGTTCTTGAACAATGCCCTTAAGGCAAAAGTAATTAGTTAGGTAAAATGTGAAAAAAAAAACATACCTGTTCCACCATTTGAGAAGTCCCTCCGCCCAATCTCTGTCCTCGCACTCGCGAATGAAGTCGATGATATTGTAGTAGAAGGCTCGGTTATTGAACTCGCCGTCTGCCTCGGACCATTTGTTCTTGTTGCTGATGGCGAAGCGTGCCTAGTACATTAAACCAATAATTCAGATATATTAAGTATGTGAATGAAAAGAAAAGTCACCTGAACGCAAGCATATGCTATATGCTCCGCTTCGACGGTAGTCATATCATGCAGGGACGCGTTGCATGAACGCGTAGCGCGCGAGTCGTCGCCTAATGCAGTAGATGGACCTGTAAAAATATGACACATTATCTAGTGATTCAGAATGTTAGTGAGATAAAAAAAAAATGTCATCAACTAAACACTTACGCACTCGAGGAAATAGCCCTGGAACAGGCCCTCGTGCATGGCATCCTCGTTGTAGTTGCTGGCAGGTGGATTGCCGGCCCACAGAAACACCGGGAAATCGATCGCAGTCATGCGAATCCGTCCTATCTCCATCCACTTTCGAGCCCTAAGACACAGAACATCAGTGACAAACCTAGAACTAATAGAGTACTTACTGTGCAGGATCTTTATTGAAGTCTTTAAGTGCCGATATAGGACAAAGGAAGGAAGCCAGCACAGGGTGGTTGATGCCCATATGTGCCCTTGACAGTGAGCCGCCATTGTAGATAGTCGGCTTTAAAGCCTCTTTCAACGGTTCAGGGGCCGCATAGTGCCCAATTTGAACCTTCAAGCGAGTTGCGTCATCTGAACGTGTCCCACTGATGATAGCATTCATCTAAATAGTATATCAGTACACAGTATATGCGCATATAGGTAGCATATACTCACCTTTCGCGTGATATGACCGAGTTCCTGAGACTTGACACGATCAGTGATGAGTGATCCGAGTCCCGGAGCCAATTGAAGCAACTGTTGATAGCTGTGCTCGTACCGATCGATGGTATTAGTTGAACTAAAAAAGGCAGATCTGAGTGTAGGCTCAAAACACCAAAAGTGGGACTTACAGTTTCGAAAGTCTTTTCTTCCGGGACTCACGCTTGGCCTCGGACTCTTCAAGTTCTCCATTCTCCGCGGCTTGCTCTTGCTGCAGGAGAGCACCTACCCTTAAGAGTTTCTCCATATTGCAAAACAAATCGACACAACGTGCCATTGCACGTGCTGCCGCAAGAAACTCTTCCGGAACTTCGAGATTTGAGTCGTTGTTCACCTTGGCTTTCCTGTTCAATATCAGTAATCTATAGTATCTCGGTGTAATGAATTTGAATATGGAACTTACTTTGCCTTCTGATCGCCTTTGCTCGAGTGCCCACGTTGTTTGGAAGACTTCTTGGGGCGAACATATGTGCGCTCCATCGATGAGATCGATGAATCACTGCTGCTACCACTATCTGAAGAATAGGGGGATCTGGAGTGTTTGTGCGGCATAGTTGCAATGTGGTGATAATAGTGGAAGATAGAGTTGCAGTGATCAACATATGGGGATTGCAATCTCAGATAATCAAGCACGTGACTTAATTCCCACTGTTTTACCGCTCAGTCGAACTTCGAACATTTTGGATCATCTTCTTCAAGTTCATCATATCCGGTTGATGATCATGATCATGCACTGCCTTCCTCGTGTTCATACTGTGCTCGAGTCTGCATCCCATGGACGACCTCACTTGCCTCGGTTGTTTGAAGGCTTTCACCACTCAGAAAAGCCTGTCATTCTCAGGCTAGCGGCATCCAAAGCACGCTGGAGTTCAGGGCTGGGCGTCACATCAAAGGTACGGAAGTCCTAATTACTATCTCGTTTGTTTTCAGATGTTGTTCTGATATATAGACCCCACTTGCAGGTGACCTGTACCATCTGGGGATCCACCCTACCTGCGGATTGGGTGCAGGTGCACGGTGATAGCTTTGTAGGCAGGGAGTTAGACTGATTCACTGATTCCTTCAATTCACAGGTTGTAATAGGTGCGTCTATTGAATCTTTTTCCTGTTGTTCTAGCTGACATCAAACCGGCAGTGATAGCTCAACACACAATCCGACATTGCAGGGAAGGAGTTGGACATTTCGGAGAAGAGTTGCAGTATCTTAGATCTACTTATTCCTGCTAAGTCCTTGAGTTTCTTATGACATATGTTGACTATATGCTATAATATAAATCCTCGTGTTCATACTGTGCTCGAGTCTGCATCCCATGGACGACCTCACCTGCCTCGGCTGTTCAAAGGCCTTCACGACTCAGAAAAGCCTCAGCAACCATGAGGCTCGGTGTGATGCCAGCAAAAACCTTGATGCTGACGTCTATAAACAGCAGCGCCGCCTGGAAAAGCAAAGACGTCAGAAGAACAAGAGGAAACGTGCTCATGGTGAGTCTGCCTCACCAAAAGGCAGCAATGCAAGTCGTGGTCCTCGTAGGTCGTCTCCAAGTCTAGCTGAACAGATGGATGTCGACGTCATTGACAATGATCGATGGTTTGATGTGCACGAGGTATGTCATATGAAATTTATGATCGATTGGACTAATATTACTCTACAAGGATGAAAATATTGCAGGACCTTCTAACACCGTCATTCCAGAACCGGAGCTCCCAATCTCACCTATCCCTGATGCACCTGCCATTACCTCTGCCCGTTCTGGCCGACAAATCCGCATGCCTGCTCGTCATGCAGACTTTGTCCCAGCTGGACCTACTGACCTCCCACATATACCCCCTCCGCCAGACAGCCCCCCCAATCGAGCCATCAATGACCTCCCTGACGACCAGCCCTTACTTGTACCCTACCAGACTGCACCGGATGCACTGGGTCTTTTCCGTGTCTATGCACAACAACCGACTCTCATACCCTTCGAAGGCCTTGATGTGATCGCCGATGCTCCAACCTTCGAAACACGGCGCAACCCTCATCTGGAGAGATCTCAGATTGTTCCCAGACTTCCCTCCCAAGACATTCAGCCTGAAGATATCTTCTCCCCATTCAGCAGCCCAACTGCAGGTCTTCTAATGTGCTGGCAGTATTCCGGCATGAACTCCAAATTGAGTGCCGAAATGAAACGCCTCACACGGTTGTTTCTAGATAACGATGAATATGAGAGAGAAGACATGTGTGTCTTTGATGATGTGCGTGAGAAGAAGCTTATGAATGCGTATCTTCAAGACAGATCTAACCCATTCCGTGTGGAGAATGGCTGGCGCTGCTCCTCAGTAAAAATACGCCTGCCTAAAGAAAAGGTCGCATTCGCATCTGAAGAAGAAGCCCCAGAATTGGAGATCCTGGGTGTTCATCACCGCTCCCTCACTGACATTATTACATCCGTCTTTGAGGACAAGATCATATCGACATTTCATTTAACGCCTTTCCGTCAGCAGTGGAAGATCTCCGAAGGTCATGTTATAAATGTCTACAGCGAGGCGTATTCCTCGCCTTCTTTTCTGGAAGCCTACGAGGAGATTAACGCACTTCCCCGAGATCCAGGCGATAATCTCAAGCGAGTTGTAGCCTCGCTGATGATGTGGTCCGACAGCACTCATCTTGCCAGCTTCGGAGATGCGTCTCTCTGGCCCTTCTACCTCTGTTTTGGCAATCAATCTAAGTACACGCGAGGCAAGCCAACAGCGTCCGCCTGTCATCATGTTGCATATATTCCTAATGTAAGTTACATCCGTGATCTATTAATTTGATTATACTCATTCTGATGTATTAAGCTTCCTGATGACTTCCAAGACCGTTATGGCTGTCTCTTTGGTGAGGCATCATCCAGTGATGTCTATACTCACTGCAAACGTGAGCTCATGCAAGCCATATGGGCGCTTTTACTGGATGAAAAATTCATGGACGCCTACAAAAATGGTATTGTCATTCGATGTGGTGATGGTATCACTCGACGTGTTTTCCCCCGCTTCTTTACTTACTCTGCAGACTATCCTGAAAAGTACGTGTTTGATTTTAATTCTTATACTTGTGTCTCATTCTATGTCTATTGTTACAGGATTCTACTTGCTTGCATCAAATTTCTCGGCGAATGTCCTTGCCCCTGCTGCCTTGTCAAGAAAGAAGACATACCCAATATGGGACTGAAGATTGATCTCGAGAAGCGCCAAGCAACTCAGCGTGTCGATGACGAACGACGTCATCGCAAAATTGAAAAAGCCCGCAGGCTCATTTTTAAATGTGGTGTTGGTATCAACGGCCAACACATCAAGAGGATTTTACAAGACGAGTCACTAGTTCCAACTCGGGTAAGTAATTTATGTATGAATCTTATATATATACCTCAATACTTCATATCAGAACGCATTCTCTATATGGTTCCTCAAATATACATTCAATTTTTTTTCAATGTTTGTCGTGGACTTGCTTCACGAGTTTGAGTTGGGTGTGTGGAAAGCTATTTTCATACATCTGATGCGCATTCTTCTTGCTGCGGGTGGTACAGTAGTCAAAGATCTCAATTTCAGGTAAGTCATAGTGTTTTTCGCCACAGTAACACAACACTTATAAGACTATATACAGGTACCGTCAAGTTCCTACATTTGGCAGGGGAATGATCAGACGTTTCCATAAAAATGCATCTGCGATGAAGCATCTGGCGGCCCGTGATTTCGAAGACATGTTGCAGGTAAGATCGATCCGATCAGACATTCAGATCAGAATTTGATGGGCTTTTCATTTCAAGTGTGCTATCCCAGTATTTGAAGGACTACTCCCTCCTGAACATGATACAGTTGTTCTTGACCTCCTTTTTGACCTCGCTACCTGGCACGCTTACGCAAAACTTCGTGTACATACGGACGACACTCTCGCATTCTTTGACTCTGTCACTGTGATCCTCGGACAATCAGTTCGCAAATTTCAATGCACTGTTTGTGCGTACTATCACACAACTGAACTTCCAAACGAGTACGCTGCACGTGGACGCCGTGAGGCTGCATTGGCATCAAAACAAGTGGGTTCTGCAAACATGTTGCAGAAGTCTAACCCAAAGGTGAAAACCTTAAATCTTTTCACCTACAAATATCACGCGCTCGCTGATTACCCAAATACTATCCGGCGAGTTGGTACTTCAGATAGCTATTCAACACAACCAGTAAGTGATCTCTTCATAATGTTATTCATACAATATCTAATATTATACAGGGAGAACTCGAGCACCGTCGATCAAAGCGCCGATACCCTCGCATAGCCAAGAAGACGGATCAAACCCTATCCAGCATGACTTCTCAAGAAGCATGGGAACACCTAATTGAGAAGGTGATTGCTGCCCTTGCAGCAAAGCAGATTCTGAGACCACGACGCACCCGAATGTCTCCTTCGGATCATTATTCAATTGCAACATATGCTCGCACAAATGACGACATCACCTCTTGGTTAATCGAGCGCAGAGACATTGGAGATTTGCCTGATCTTGCAATCGAGGTAAGCTATTTTCGTACATGTGTATTCACATTCTCATTGTATTTTCTTAGGAGTTTATTCCACGACTCAAGGACCATCTCCTTGCTCGACTTCGCAATTTTGCATATGATGGAGATGAGCATGACTTCTCTGATGCTGATCGCACCTCAGTTCTATTCACAGACAACAAGATATACCATCACAGTATCTTGCGCATCAACTATACAACCTACGATCTACGACACGAACAGGACACCATCAATCCCCGTACTCGTGCTGACATTATGCTTCTCTCCCACGAAGATGAGAAGATTCATCCATACTGGTATGCCCGTGTGATCGGGATCTTTCATATCAATGTTGAATACCGCGAGGACAACACTCAGACATACTCACACCCAACTCGGATGGACTTCTTATTTGTCCGATGGTTCAGACGGGATAGTTCACCTGCAGGTTGGGCTGCAAAACGCCTCCAGCGCCTCGAATTTTTCGATGAAGACAGTCCTGACGCATATGGATTCTTGGATCCAGACTCCATCGTTCGTGGGGTTCATCTGATTCCCAGTTTTCAACATCGTTCAGATCCTCAAGATCCTGAGTCTGACTGCCGTTTTCAATATGTGAACATGTGCGTATTTGTTTTTTATTTATTCTTGCAACTAAGGCTGATATATCTACATCATGTATATAGATTTGTCGATCGAGACATGTTCATGAGGTTTCGTGGTGGTGGAATCGGCCATAAAGCTACCAGAGACTGGGACGATATTCTCCAACACGAGAAACATGGAGCCGAAGAACCGGAAGAGGGTGATCAGCTTGAAGAAATCATTGCCGACGTATCAGACGTGGCTGATACAGTGGAGGAGTGGCAGGATATCGAGGATGACAATGCTGACAGCGAGAGCAGTGATGAAGAAGGTGATGACGAGGGTAGAGTCATGGCTGACGAAGGAGAGGAGCTCGACGATGACGTGCTTGCAGAGGAAGGATATGGCGCACTTTGATGTATTTAGCATGCTTCTCGATCGATCGAACGCTCGGCGCATCAAATTTTCGTTTTCATTGTATGTTGCGCAAAGACTTTGATTACAGTACCTATACGACATTGTGTACATATTTTAGTATCTAGGATATGTCATGTAGATACAAGAATCATCTACTTAATGTCGTTATGATAGTATCGCGAGGTGGGAGGTCTCATTCTGAGTTAATTGCTGCATTCAAATGTCGCGTCGGGGTGTTGATGACATCACACGGACTTGTTTGGTCATATGTTCAGCCACACTATCGTCCATATCGGGTAATCTCTCAGTTGCGCAAATCTCGTACAATACACACCTCGCTGGACAAACGACGCCGAGTAAGCGACCAGGTAAGATGTCACGCCGCACATTCTCCAGGTGGCACTGGCACGTCGGGCATAGGAGATTGCACGGGAGCATCAGATTGAGACATCTGTTGCTTCGTCTGCCAGAGATATCGGTGCATACGCGTGGTGAGAATCGCAAGAATAATGAACTGGAAACTATACATGAATGGGCGTTTCAGGCATGGTTAGTAGAATTGCGCAAAAGCTTGTGAAGGTACATACTCGCGAAGTATGGCATGGTAGCAGTACTGGGCATACGGAACGTGAACGACTCGAAAGACGTTATGGAAATACACGCACATGGAGGAACAGTGACGTGAATATGTTCGCCGCCGAGAACACTTGAGGGAAGAGAATGTCCATGGATAAACACGGAAAAACGACGTGTGTAAGTGTTAACTCACAAAGACCACATGTATAATAAAATATGTTATGGTTTACCAGGACAGTGTACAGACGCCCTTTATTTTTCCGCCAGTTCTGTATGGCACGTATGAGTGTAAGAGCCGCGAGTCCTGGGGAGTATCAGCGTGTGTTTGTACATAGATATACCACTGGTTGCCCACCCAGTTCGAATGAGCACAATAAAAGAAATGGTATGAAGAGCTGGAGGGTAGTCGAGCTCTGGTAGCACCCTGCGATACCGGGGATCGCACTAATTGCATCTACAGAAGCAGACAGAATTGTTGAATGGTAATGAAATGGTGAGAGCGCGTACATGTAGCGGGAGCAGTGGTGGCGAAGGTAACGCCGATAGAGGCCGCGATAAAAGTCTGTTTGATGAATCTACAACTGGATTGAGTGTTGCCACTGAACTTTGGACTCACGAAAAAGGTAATAAAAATGGTTGTGAAGAAGGTTCTATTGTTGTCCCAGAGCGCGCATGTTCTTAGAATGAAAAAGCCTGGATGAATGGAATCAGGAACATATATATCTTAGGGAGGAAGAAGAGATACACTCAGAGCAAACGGCTAATAATATCTCGAGCCCTGTAAGTGACGGTGGGCTGCCCTCAGCAAAACTGTGCACAGATGGATGTACCATGCACGTACCTGAGCAAATATTGTCCAACACCCGGCATTTCTGGTGAAGTCACGCAGTAAGCAACGTTGGTCCCTTATTACGTATCTACCGCATGTTCACGTACACCTGGGGTTTCGTTTGGGATAAAACTCACTGCATGACAACGTGTTAGTTCATTATCAGATTCGGGCGATATGCGCTGGAGCTCAACGTACAATATAGATTTGTGGCGAGGAGGAGAAAGGGGGCATATCGCGTGACGATATAGAGGCCTTTCACACTGGTCCAGTGCGACATACGCAAGAATTCCCACTTTGAACATAATCAAATCAGTATGAGATCCAGGAATCTCGGAACCAGTGCATTACCTCTTCGTGAAGCAAACAGGCATAATCGTAGGTCTAGATATGCGAGTTTAGCTGCGAAAGAAAACTCCTCGGGACAAACCCACCCATATTGTTGTTACGAAAACTGAGCTGCGTTGAGACAGTAAAGATCGATTTCAAACAGTAGTACGCACTATAAATATACTGATGTGCATATAAATTACTCAATATCACTGCCCTCGTATCGACAAGAGAGAAACGCACCTGAAAGAAGAGCAAACTCGTCGCCGCCTCGATATCAGCAGCCGAATAGTCCGTCTGCATTCGGGATCGTTCAAGAGGTAATCATTAACGGGTTTGCCGCCCCCTTGTGAACTCTTATAAGAACGCACACATGCCATGCAGTTGAGTAATTCCGAGTTTAATTCGGAAACTTGCTTTCTCTTGTTGCTGAAGCAGCCCTAAACATGTACTGAATTCTTACGGTGTCAAGTTGAAGGTGTGTCAAGTCCAAGTCCCACCCTGCCTTGAGCCAAACAAGATAGCCGACAGGCAAGACTCCATTTGGGCTGCTGAAGGCTAAAGCCATCGAAGGGCTTAAGACACCAATGGACTTCAAATTTAGTTTTGAAGGTGGACACTTCTATGATTGTGATCATCATAGTCACCCTCGAAAAAAAAAAGTTGAGAGCTCCCAGACCTCTTGTTTTGGCTGCATAACCAGGACGACGTGTTGTGCTGATAAGGCGGAGTAAGTTTGTCTTCGACAGCGATTGACTATTTTGTTTGGCTCTAAGGCACGGTAGGACTTGAAGTTGACACCAAATTTGAGCACGCCTTAATTAATTTACTCCTTAGCAGACCCAGAATGTATAATCAGGTGATGCCTGAAAAGGGTTAGGAAATGATTCAGTATTAGGTCGTATAATCCACTACACCAAGTGTTGGCGCACAGCGCCAAGGTTTATGCATGAGTCCTGTCTGGGACAAGGCTTGGCGATGCTTAGTGGTTCTTGAAACCCAAATGAACTCTTGGACGTTTGGAATCAAGCAGCCCTGTGACACGAGTGGCTCAAAGCCCTGATCTGTGAGGTTATACTTCCCCACACACTAGTAATCACTCGGCCCCCATTGGTTTGTAGGGGGGTAATTGTTACGTTCAGCAGTTGTGAATCGTGACGGCAGCCATTGACGCTGAGCCGCTGTCGTACTAGGCAAGGGCCGTAGACTCGAATTATAAGTAAAATGCAGTGTAGACAGTACTGTGTACGCACTGGGTCACGAGTTCATTCATATTGTGTAGCTTCGCAAATTCTGGAGTGTTCCATCGCCTGAAGGTTGTAAACACGGAGTCGTGAGTTTCCTTTCATTGTAGACGATCCGAAGGGTCGTGTCATGTACAGGAACGAACGTTCAAACGTTCATAATCGATTGGATCAAAAAAGGTTCCCTTGGGCAAGCACCTGACGTACTACGTGTTTGGCAAAAGTTTGTAAACCAAACAACGCCTCGATCGAGGCCCTAGTAAACCTAAATATCACACTCGAACTAACATCTAATGACTACTATCTTGCTCAGCCTCCGGTTATACGACGACGGAAAAGAGTAAGAAAATAGACACACTACAATAAACCTGTTTAACGCTGCGCAGGGGAACGGGCGTTCCCTCCACACCCAACTCGCAAGTGACACAACTGCATGCGCCGGCGCTACTGTTACAGTCTCCACAAATGTATTATGTGGTCACCCCCAACGACTAGTAAGGCCCGTCCACTCAGTACTCTCGTATATTTCAAGTCTGTGAACACCTACACCACCATCTATTCGCTCACAGGCCCATCGCGCATTCTCCAATATCCTGTGACCGCATTACATTTCCTACACCTCAGATATCGTTACCTCTCTGAACGATTCCGTCAGTCACTACCCACCACATCAACGTGCAAATAACTTACCTCGTTGAGTGAAACGGATTTGTGGGCAGCGCAGGTGGTTGCAGATATCGTCCTGTTATAACAGGAATGTTTCATTGATTAGTGAAGCTTAAAGTGTTTTACTAGTAAACCTGTACCGTAATGTTCATTGCCGTTAGACTGTGCATCTGTCTCTAACACGCTCAAATTCTGGATCCTGAATCCGTCGTCGCTTACAGCAGGAACTAAGGGTGTCAAATAGACTGAGGCCATTCAGGAGCTCCTCCCACCTTACGACAAAGTCATCCCAGCTATAAGTTAAGCGCGTAATGAACTCTGCCAAACCTACCACCACCAGCCATCTTGTACAGTCCAAGCCTCGCTCAACGAACGACACCGAATAAGATACAGAAAAAGGCATCACGCTGTAGAAGTGACAAATGATATATCGGACATTGGAATATCCGTGAAGGCGACAGAGCCACGTCCATGTCGGTTCGTCTGCCAGAGATGAAGGTGCATGCGCGTGGCGAGGATGACAAGGATCATAAACTGAAAACTATACATTCAGGGTATCATTAGTAGGAATACGCAGCAACATGTAAAAGTGCGTACCCGTCCAAAATAGTCTGGTAGGAATCCTGGGGCACGAAACATCAACGGCTAAATCAGAAAAGACATTCAAGAGATTCACGCACGTGGAGAAACAGCGATGTGAAGATGTTCGCTATCGAGAACACTTGAGGAAAGATGGATGAGTACGGAAAAACGGCGTACGAATGGCAACTCACGAAAACCGCATGCATAATAGGATATGTTGTGGTTTAGTAGGACAACGTACATAGGACTTTGGTGTGTCCGCCAGCTTTGTATGGCACGTATGAGTGAGTATCAGGAGTCCTGTAGAGAACGACCGTCAGCGCATGTTTGTACATATATACTATGTATTGATTACCCACCTAGTTCGAACACCGAAAAGAGAAGAAATGGTATAAAGAGTTTGTAATTGGTCGAACTCCGGTAGCACCCTGTGATTCCCGGGACCGCGCTAGTCGCATCTGTGATAGTGAACATAATGTTTCAGTTGTCGTGGAATACCAGAGGAAAGGTGAGGGCGCGTACGTGCTGCAGGGACGGTAGTGGCGAAGGCAATGATGATGGATGCTACGAGAAAAGACTGATTGATGCATTCATTTACCACTAGCTTGGGTACAGTGAGTGGATTTAGAACTCACAGAAAAGGCAGACACCAATGCTACGAGCAAGATTTTATTGTTGTTCCAGAGCGCATATGTTCTGAGGATAAAGAACCCTAGATGAATCGGATCAGAAATATACATATCTTAGGGAGGAAGGAGAGTAGTACACTCGGAGCAAATGACTAATAGCATGCCGATCCCTGTGAGAGAGAGGAGGTCGCCCTCAGCTAAGCTATGCATAGACAGATGTACCATGCACGTACCTGAGCTGATACTGTCCAACATGCGGCATTTCTGGTAAAGTCAGTTGGCAGTAAGTCGTTCGTTCCCATCAACACTCCAGCGAATCACATACACCTGGGTTCTCATTCGGAATAAAGGTCACTAAAAACAGTGTTAATTCATCATCGGGGCGACGTGTACTTGAGCGGGACGCACAATATAGATCCGTGGCGAGAAGGATAAAGGGGAGATATCGTGCAACAATATACAAGCCTTTCATCTTGGTCCATTGTGATCGAAGCAAAAATGTCCACTTTGTAGTATGGATATATTAATATGGCCGTCAAACACAAGGTGTGTGAGGTGTGTTACCTCTTCATCGAGTGAACATGCATAATCATAGGTCTACGGTATAATCAAGTGAGTTTGACAGTTGACGCGAATAGCCTAGATGAGTGATGAGTCTACGTACCCAGAATGTAGCCATTGACGCTGAGATGTAGTATTAATAGGTCAAATAATATGGTGTTTAGGCAGTACGCACTGTATATGTACTGATGACTTGTCAGTTATCAATCGTCCTCAGTATCGAGAAAAGAGACGCACCGAAGTAAACTGCAAGCTCCTTGCTGCTGCGATGTCCTCAGTCGAATACTCCAACATTGGAGAGGTCAAAAAACTTTTTTCACATACATGCGCCTTCTTAGCTTTATGAACTTCTGAGCTAACAGGTATTTGTATTCGGCGACCTGAGTCATTACCTATCTTGTGACTTCAACTTGCCTCTTGGTTGTTAGCGGGTAGAGCCCAAGTACAGCGATGATCGCAAATGTCACCGATGTGCAGATATGATGGTAGTGTCATGAAGTTAAGACCTAGTGGTAGTGCTGCAAGTCAACGTATTCAAAGATATCAACTGATGGAAATTGCTCGGAGCTGCATCATGATGAATTCATTTTCGCTTCCATAACAACCCCCATATGGTAAGTTAGTAGCGGTTCACCCGTACTCACTCGGTCTTAGTCTGAATTCTGATGTGTTCTAGGTACTACAATACAGCATTTGTTCCTACCTTGGAAGGCTTCCATCTTTGACCTACAAATGCATCATGATACATTGTATTTGCCTGCTGGCACTAGACTGCAGCAGTATCACATCACCCTGTACCTTACAACGAACCCCTCGTCGAAGTTCTGTATATGAATGCTCCTCGCACCCCGCGACAAACTTATCCTATAAACTAAGCACATAACGAAGTCCACCAAGTCCACTCCATGAGCGGCACCGAATAAGAAATCATGCCGTGGAATTTACAAATGATATTTCAGACATTGAAATATGCATGTGATCGCTAGTAGAGCCATGTGGATGTCGGTTCGTCTGCCAGAGATGGAGGTGCATGCGCGTGGCGAGGATTGCAAGGGTAATGAACTCGAAACTGAACGTAGGTGTACGCATCGAGTATTGTTAGTAGGAATGCGCAGCAGGATGTGGAGGTACATACTCATACAACACGCTGTGGTAGGAGTACTGGGACGCAGAGCATTAGCGACTCGGTAAAACAGTATTTGATAGAATCACGCACTTGGAGGAGCAGCGATGCGAAGATGTTCGCTACTGAGAACACTTTAGGAAAGAGAATGATCATGAATGAGTATGGAAAAACGGTGCATGAGAATGTTAACTCACGGAAACTGCATGCATAATAGGATATGTTGTGGTTCACCAGGACAACGTACAGACGGCCGGCGTTTGTCCGCCAGTCCTGCATGACGCGTATGAGCGTGAGAATCATGAGTACTGGGGAGAACACTTGTCAGCGCGTGTTCGTACATATCTATGCTCCTGGTGACTCACACAGTTCGAACAAAGAAAGAAGAAGGAACGGGATGAAGTACAGGAAACTGGTCGAACTCTGATAACACCCTGTGATGCCCGGGATCGCGCTAGTCGCATCTGTGAAGGTGAACAGAATGTTTCAGTAGTCGTGGAACGCTAGAGGGAAGGTGAGAGCAAGCACATGATGCGGGGACGCCAGTGGCAAAGATCATGGCGGAAATTGCTACAAGCAAACACTGGATGACGTATCTAGCACTAACTTGAGTATGGTGAGCAGATTAAGAACTCACAAACAAAGTGGACAGCATCGCTGCAAGCAAGATTTTATTTTGGTTCCAGAGGACATATGTTCTGAGGACAAAAAAAACTGGATGAATCAGATCAGAAACGCACATATTACAGGGGAACGAGGGATACATTCGGAGAAAATGATTATCACAATGCCAAGAGCTGTCAGAGGAAAGTACTAGCCTTCAGCAAGAATATTCATACATGAATGTACCACGCACATACCTGGATTGATATTTTCCAACACCCGGCATTCCTGGCGAAGTCATGCGATGAGACGTTCATTCTCATTGGCTCTCCACTGCAGCACTTACAGCTTGATTCTCATTCGGAGCAAAGCCCACTGAAGTACAAGTGTTAGTTCATCATCGGGCGATGCGTGCTGAAGCGGAACGCACTATATAAATCCATGGCGACAATGATAAAGGGGAGATATCGTGTGACAAAATACAGAATTTTCATCTTGCTCCAGTGCGATTGAAGTAGAAATGTCCACTTTGGACAACGTATTGTGAATATTAATGCCGAGATGTCTCATGGAAGAAGCGTATTACCTCCTCATGAAGCGAACATATATAATCATAGGTCTGGATAAGCGAGTTTGAGAGCGGACGTGGATAGATCAAAATAAACATACCCATATTGTAGCTATTGATGCTGAACTGTGTTAGGACAAATAAGATGGGATTCAGACGGGCACCGTACGCACTGAATATGTACTGATGATTCGTGATCTGTCAGTTGTGATTCGTCCTTATATTTGACAAAGAGACATACTGCAGCGAACTGTAAGCTCCTCGCTGCTGCAATATCGTCAGTCGAATACTCCATATCGAGGTAAAAAATAACACACACGTCATTCGTCTTCTTAGCTCTTATGAGAATGAGCTGTAAACCCATCAGCCTGAGGGTGGCCGTATAAACACCGTGCCGTGTGTCACACTGGTCCTTGATAGCTCAATTTGTGAAGCTTCTGAAGTTCAAAGTTTGATACATTATCGTCACCTGAAACGCGAAGACCTCGGAGGGACCTCCAGTACTAGTACTTACTCGGTCGTCGTCTTTTCGGGGTCCTGAGGTAATTTCTACCTGCCTTGTACTAGAGAGGTTCAACCTAGCGATAGAAAGGCCTTTACCTTGGTTCAGAGTGATCGAAGTAGGAACCCAGCATGGTACAAAACCGTACGTGATTGTCTGTGAAAGTTACTATATTACATTGCTGTTCTTTTCAATGCAAATTTCGAGTGCAGCCAAACGCCTACCATACAGTTCAAGTTGCTGTGCTAGTTCTCGAACGTTCATGCATCACAGGTCTCAAAAAATTTCCCGAAAGCAACTATGGTTAAAAGCCGTCCCATAATATGATCATCAATGCTGTGGTTGAGACTCTATGCACGGAACCTTGCAAAGTGCAAGCGCTTGCTGGGTATGTCACACACTCCTCTTTCAATATTATACTCGTCCGGAAGATGTGCTTATCATTTATATGTTATTTGTGACCGCTCCTGTACCCCCGTTGTATTTCTCACTCGACTTTTCATTTCGACGTATCACTTGGACCTCGACTTCTCGTTCTGTCCGATATCTTCCCCTTCCTCGAGACAATGATACAGTGCTGTGATTGCCTCTTGGATGATTTATCCTGTACCACGGTATTCGTTACGTGACTTACTCCCGCAGGCAGGCGTGCTGTCCCGAGTCCCGACATAAGTCGTCATACCCGTCCGCCTCAGCATTGAAGTATACCTAAACCGGTTCTCGAATTCTCATGATTGAAGATAAGAATGAAGAGCAATTATTTGACGACCGCAAACCTGAGTATAGATAGTACAAAACAGAACGCGATACGATGAGATGCGAATACTAGGTGTCAAAACCCAATACAATCTGCAGCGTTCAGCAGTTGAAGCTGAAGTGTCAAGTATAGTACATAACATGGGGAAGAGCGCTGGAAATAAGGATACATCACAGTCCGCACCACTCGATAGTCGAAGCTGGCGTGCTTGGTATCGTACACAACGGGAGCGCATAGTATGGGTACACCGCAGAAAGAGGTGGTAAACTTGGCTCGAGAATCATCTACTTCTGTGCTGCCAAGTCCTTTGCTGCGGGTAGTTGTTGAATTTCGAATTCTTAGTTCACAACGAAGCGAGGGACGTACACATGCGATTTTCAAGGATGAAGTCAAGAATCTTTCTCCCGAGTTCCTCTTTCTCGTAGCCGGAGCGAGAAATCTCTTTTGCTCCTTTCTCCACAGCGGCGGCCATCGGAGATTTCAGGTAATAGTCTACGGCAGACTTGACGCTCTCCGGCTTGTCGTAGGCATTGTTCGGCAGAAAGGCAGAGTACTCAAGGACGATTATAGTAGCTGCTGCCTGTTATAAGAACTACAACTGATCATACGCTGGGAAACTAACCAATTCCAGTATGAATGATTCTGTGTGTAGCAGCAGTAAACAATGACCTCTTCGCAGCCTGTTGCACAATCTTACAGCGCTGAGGATCAATGCAGAGCAAAATTAACCTACCAAAGGCTGAAGGACGCGAAAAACGTCAATTATCTTGGTCCTGGCCTGGCAACAGGTTGAAGGTATGTGCATCAGAATCAACCCCATAGAGAAAAGTACTTGCATCCTGCGGAAAGGGAATGTAAGAATCATGAGGTGACACGTTGACATTTGGTTAAGAGCAGAGACGCACATTCTATTTGGTGACCCGTGACAGTTGTAAACGATCAACCACCAGATTGTGGACGATGACAGGTGTGCGCAGGTAACTTACAAACTGTCAAGAGTTGGAACTACATGAGCACCACTACGTGACGGTGAAGATGTACCATCCATGGACGTACAAGCTGATTCAATAAGATTGTTTGTCAGTGGAGTAATATAGGATCCAGACAGGACATGATTTACACACATTCTGCGAACACATCATAAATACAAGAGATTATACGGCTAGAATTCTTCAGCGATTGAAATAAACTCACATCCTACAGGTGAAAGAAACAGTCAAAATGATCAACGCATTTAATACTTCACAATATGAGGGTAGAACGACTCACATTCTGTGTGGGGCAAGAGAATATGCAAGGTATGTGAATATGAAAAATAAGCCATCAGGGAGGGGCACTCAACGAACTATGCATTATATGAGCAATCGTGATTCCACACGTCAGATAGAATAGAAGCTCACATCGGGCTATCAACACGAGTTAAATTATTTATATTATTTCAATAGAAGATATGATCAAGACACATACCACCTGCCAAAAAAAGAGCAGGAAGATGTCAGAATGCTGCACATGGATTATAGAAAGCAAGAAAAAAGGAAGGTACTTACTTTCTGTCAACAAGCGTGCAGCAGCAGCAAGGAATAGGGATCATGAGAATCGGTCGAGGACTCGAAACCATCAAGCCACTTACTTTCTGTCAACAAGGGAGCAGCAGGAAGGGATGGGATCATGAGCATCTGTCGAGGACTCGAAACCATCAAGCCACTTACCGACTGTCAACAGACGAGCAGCAGCAAGGGATGGGTATCATGAGCATCGGTCGAGGACTCGAAACCATCAAGCCACTTACATACTGTCAACAGACGAGCAGCAGCAAGGGATGGGGACCATGAGCATCGGTCGAGGACTCGAAACCATCAAGCCACTTACATACTGTCAACAGACGAGCAGCAGCAAGGGATGGGGATCATGAGCATCGGTCGAGAACTCGAAACCATCAAGCCACTTACAGCCTGTCAACAGACGAGCAGCAGCAAGGGATGGGGATCATGAGCATCGGTCGAGGACTCGAAACCATCAAGCCACTTACGTCCTGTCAACAGACGAGCAGCAGCAAGGGATGGGGATCATGAGCATCGGTCGAGAACTCGAAACCATCAAGCCACTTACAGCCTGTCAACAGACGAGCAGCAGCAAGGGATGGGGATCATGAGCATCGGTCGAGGACTCGAAACCATCAAGCCACTTACGTCCTGTCAACAGACGAGCAGCAGCAAGGGATGGGGATCATGAGCATCGGTCGAGGACTCGAAACCATCAAGCCACTTACTTTCTGTCAACAAGGGAGCAGCAGGAAGGGATGGGATCATGAGCATCTGTCGAGGACTCGAAACCATCAAGCCACTTACCGACTGTCAACAGACGAGCAGCAGCAAGGGATGGGTATCATGAGCATCGGTCGAGGACTCGAAACCATCAAGCCACTTACATACTGTCAACAGACGAGCAGCAGCAAGGGATGGGGACCATGAGCATCGGTCGAGGACTCGAAACCATCAAGCCACTTACATACTGTCAACAGACGAGCAGCAGCAAGGGATGGGGATCATGAGCATCGGTCGAGGACTCGAAACCATCAAGCCACTTACGTCCTGTCAACAGACGAGCAGCAGCAAGGGATGGGGATCATGAGCATCGGTCGAGGACTCGAAACCATCAAGCCACTTACAGCCTGTCAACAGACGAGCAGCAGCAAGGGATGGGGATCATGAGCATCGGTCGAGGACTCGAAACCATCAAGCCACTTACGTCCTGTCAACAGACGAGCAGCAGCAAGGGATGGGGATCATGAGCATCGGTCGAGGACTCGAAACCATCAAGCCACTTACCCACTGTCAACAGACGAGCAGCAGCAAGGGATGGGGATCATGAGCATCGGTCGAGAACTCGAAACCATCAAGCCACTTACAGCCTGTCAACAGACGAGCAGCAGCAAGGGATGGGGATCATGAGCATCGGTCGAGAACTCGAAACCATCAAGCCACTTACAGCCTGTCAACAGACGAGCAGCAGCAAGGGATGGGGATCATGAGCATCGGTCGAGGACTCGAAATCATCAAGCCACTTACTTCCTGTCAACAGACGAGCAGCAGCAAGGGATGGGGATCATGAGCATCGGTCGAGGACTCGAAACCATCAAGCCACTTACATACTGTCAACAGACGAGCAGCAGCAAGGGATGGGGATCATGAGCATCGGTTGAGAACTCGAAACCATCAAGCCACTTACGTTCTGTCAACAGGCGGGCAGCAGCAAGGGATGGGGGATCATGAGCATCGGTCGAGGACTAGAAACCATCAAGCCACTTACCGACTGTCAACAGACGAGCAGCAGCAAGGGATGGGTATCATGAGCATCGGTCGAGGACTCGAAACCATCGAGCCACTTACATACTGTCAACAGACGAGCAGCAGCATGGGATGGGGATCATGAGCATCGGTCGAGGACTCGAAACCATCAAGCCACTTACCCGCTGCAGACGGGCGAATAAAAGCAAGCAATCAGCGTTGTTCATACTGTTTGACCTTGGTAAACCACCAGCTTACCAGCTGTTAACGACGGACAACTACAATCAAGGAATAAATATCAGACTGTCTACAGTTTCAGCGCTTCGATATTTACCAGTCATGAGTTTTACCAGGGCATCATCAGACTGAATCAATGTTCGTCTTACTTTTAAATGTGGAAACCACTTAGCCATGTTATACAGATGGACGTCATAATCGACTGGCCCAGATTGCTGATGCGCATCGTTGACGAGAGATCTAGATGATGCTGGACATAAAATAGTTGACTTGCAACTGTGCGACTCACGTAACGGCACACTTGATGCAAAGCTCCAGGTTCGATTGCTGTGTCGATATCAAGCACAGTTGCAATTCTTCATTGTCTAATGCTAGAGTGGTGTGTTCCAGTAGAATGTTGCAGTCCGTATTTGGTTTCTGCATATCTAGGATGGCGAAAGTATGTCAACTTCAATGTGGCATGAGTCAGTCTGAATCACTTACTCTCCAAGCGCACATGAGACTTGGGACGAGCACGATTTTTGGAATCGTATAAGCGATCCAAGACACCTGTCTTCATGAACAATTCCTCGACCCGTTGAGGAATCCCTTTTAAGCATTCTCCTACTGGTGCCCCTTTCAGTTCCTTCTTGAGTTCTCCGAATGCGATTGGACGTAAAGCGTCCAATTTGGTGAATATCACGACCACGGGAACTGAAAACGAGTCATTTAGTCCGAGCAAAGCATAGGAAAATATACTGAAAACTCGCTGTGCCCGGTGTCGCACTCGGAGAAGAATTTTTCCTCCGCCCGCTGAAACGTTCGACAATGATCGTCCATTGGAATACAGAACCTGATGGAAGTCAATAAGCGCTGAATGTCAGAAGGGAGCCACTTACCAAATAGCATGGAGTCGTTCCTCCAATTTTGTTGCCTTTGCCCGTTCCGAGATGAAACTCTTCATGTCCTCAAATTCTTCTTCAGAACCCGCTTCGAAACCGCATGAGTCGTGGAAGACGAAGGTGGGATTACTTTTGAACACCATCTCGTTTCTGATGTCGTGATTTCCACGCTGATCGTCTTTCAGCATATGAATGTCTGCAGGGAGAATGGTGCACTCACCTTGATCGATGCTTCCACGAGGGCTGTATCGATCTATCCATAATTGATCAGCGATAAACCCATGCATCGCATAGATCATCGATCGTACCTTGTGTCCTTTGGTATCGTAAATTTCTGGTCCATCCGTGGTATTGCAGACCTTGTGAAGGATGGACGTTTTCCCTGCGTTTGCTCTTCCCATGATCAGAACTCGAAATTGTTTAATCATTTCCCTGAGGACCTGAGCGTCGATGGTTGCCATGTGAAGATCTTAGTGTGCGTCCTGAAGTAGAGGTGATCTGGCTTATGATGAAAGCTGTACTGTGGTACAGAACGAGATCGCGGCGAGAGATAACAGCGAACAAATACGAAGCGAGGGCTCGTGTGGCTAATGACACAACAGTTACACACGGCGTCTATCTCCCTGCATTAGGCAATCAATTCCACCTTGAACTGTTCATTCGTCTGTACAATAAAGCACAATGATTATACAACAACTGATGTCGAATAAGAGCATTGGTAAAGACATGAACTACAATGAACAATCAGAATACGACGGAAACGACAGAATTTCCTCTTCCCTACCTATCTAATTGAAATTGAAAAGTAGTGATATCGGAAACCTCTGTAGATGGAGGTGAGCTCGATTTTCCGAGGTCTTCCATCCGAATGATCCTTCAGGTGTTTGAGAACAAGAGAACGTAGGGATGCGAGACATCCTCTGGAATGGGTTACATGCCGTAGTGCTCGACGGGGTCTGCAAGTTTAGAGTTTCCCCCAGAAGTTTTCTGTACGACTGAGGGGTGACGGAGCAGTAGGTGCCGCGCGTGTTGGCTGAAATGAAACGTCAGCCATGCTTGTTGGACTAACAGAAAGACCAATGTAACGTACCGTGGAAGCTTGGAGTCATAGATGGCTTGAGATAGGTTTGGTACATGTCGGCGGATGAGTCTGACTGTCAATCATCATACTTTATAAATTGGCGCATATCCTGTTGAGTATCAAATAAGACGTACCGGCCACCATACGCTTTTCATTCGAAGTCTGGCGTGCGTCTTACTGGATTACGACAAAATCCGCCCCAAGAACCCTTGAATTCCAACTCATGAGCAGAATGGACAAAGCTTCAATTCCGTTTGACTGGACCCTCCTTCGACTCTTCCCGCCTGGGTGCCTACTGTGATGAGTCTTCAGGATAACGTCTTCTGTTCATAGCGAGCTCCCTAGTATCTTTCGATGGTATTTGATTATATAGCGTCGATAGTCGTGATGTAAGTGGTGAAGTGCATGATCATGCGCCTTGAACTTACAAAACATCATGGTTTAGCAAGAATGAAGTGAGTATGGGGACTCGCAGTGCGAGCCAAGACTCACTAGTAAATTGAGAGGTATCTGTGATTCTATGCCTTGGATCCAGCAATTTCGAGAAACGTTGACAGAATTGCAGGATATGGGCGACATTATGTCTGCTGCTCTCTGCCGGTGTGGAAATCCTCGGGGTGGCCTATTCCATCGTCGCGGATATACGACGATCATGATAAACCGGGGAAAGCGAGTGTTGTATCCATAGAAATGTAAAAGCCTTCTTGGAGCAGTAGTAGACAAGCAACTTCGCCGCAGCATTTGGACATGGGTGTTAGAAAGAAACCCCGCAACGGTTTAAGATACTCATTAAGGCAACATTAAGGTCATTTGAAATTGCAATTGCTGAGTCGGATGTCGTACCAAGCTAGTTGAATTTATCTTATGTTGGGGCGAACCGAGAGCTGTGTGACCGAGTAGTTCAAGACACTAAGGTCCTCCCCACAGCGTGACTAATTATCATATCAGGTAGTCGTTCGTCTAAGCCATGAATTCAACTAATATCGCAGACGGTAAACCATGACCAGAATATTTGGCGTTCAACAAGAGGCTCCCGTACTCAGAAGACTTTAGTCTTCGTCCAAACGATTTCCTGGTCAACATGGTATTTGATGCCATCCGAACTTCTCAATTTGAATTTGTCAAACCAGCCCTATACACGGACTTTTATCGATGAGCAAATAATACCTAAGACTTCAGTCGCAAACTGACGAGCAACATTGCTTATACGACATATGAAGAAGGTCAAGTATACCAGACCACACTCAACATCTGAACGACGGTATCCGATAGCAAGATCAAGAAAGTCGATACACTACCTGTTCAACATGGTGAACCAGCCCTGTTTATTTGTTTTATAAATTAGTTTACATGTCTTCAGGAACTCGAAGTCGCAGAAGTCAAATTCGGTTTCATACCCAAATTCTAGGGCACAACAGCATGGCATATGCGCCGATGCCAACGCCTTCACGAAGGCGACCATCCCCAAATAGTGCTAGTCCACTACTCCCGTAGACATTCTATCTCTGAAATTGACAATTGGCAGGTCGGACATTGGAATACTGGCGCTAGACTTCTGCCTACGCTGGTTCCTCTGCCAAAGATGGAGGTGCATGCGCGTGGCGAGGATTGCAAGGATCATAAACTGTAAACTGCACGTGGGTCTACGTTTCAGGTATTGTTAGTAGGTAGATGTGGAGGTTCATACCCGTCCAAAATGGTCTGATAGGAGTCCTGAGGCGGGGAACATCAACAACCAGATCATAAATATGAAACATATGAAAGATTCAAGCACCTGAAGGAACAGCATTGTGAATATGTTCGTCACTGAGAATACTTTAGGAAAGAAAATGAACACAAAAATACGGCATATACGAATGTTAACTCACGAAAACCGCATGCATAATAGGATACATTATGGTTCACTAGGACAACGAACAGACGGCTTTCGTTTCTCCACCAGCTCTGTATGGCGCATATGAGGGTAAGTATCATGAGTCCTGAGGAGAGCGCCTGTCAGTGCATGTTTGCAGGTATATATGCTGCTCGTCACTCACCCAGTTCGAAAACGGAAAGGAAAAGAAATGGAATGAAGAGCTGGTGACCGGTCGAACTCCGGTAGCACCCTGTGATTCCCGGGATCGCGCTGGTCGCATCTATGAAAGTGAACAGAATGCTTCAGAAATTGTGGAATACCAGAGGGAAGATGAAAGCACGTACGTGCTGCAGGGACAGTAGTGGTGAAAGCAATGCTGAAGGATGCTACGAGAAAAGACTGACTGATGCATCTACCACTAGCTTGGATATGGTGAGTGGATCGGAAACTCACAAAAAAAGTGGACCCCATGGCTGCAAGCAAAATTCTATTTTGGTTCCAGAGCACATATGTCCTGAGGATGAAGAAACCTAGATGAATCGGATCAGGAGCATACATATCTTGACAAGGAAAGAGAGATACACTCGGAGCAAATGACTATTAGCATGCCGATTCCTGTGTGAAAGAGGAGGTCGCCTTCAGCTAGGCTGTGCATAGATGGATGCACCATACACATACCTAAGCTAATATCGCCCAATGCCTGACATCCCTGGCGAAGTCATATAGTAAGCCGTTCATTCTCATTAACTCTTCACCGCATCACATACAACTGTGTTCCCATTCGAGATGAAGCTCACTGAAAAATAAGTGTTAATTCATCATTAGGGTCGTGTGCGCTAGAGCGGAACGCACTATATAGATCCGTGGCGAGAAGGATAAAAGGGAGGTATCGTGTAACGATATACAGGACTTTCATCTTGTTCCAGTGCGATCGACGCAAAAATGTCCACTTTGTACAGCACATTGTGAATACCAAAACCGAGGTGTGCCGTAGAATAGGTGTATTACCTCTTCTTTTAGTGAAGATATATAATCATAAATCTGGATAAGTGAGTTTGACAACGGATGTGAATATATCAAAATAAGCCCACCCAAAATGTAGCCATCGACGCTGAACTGCATTAGGTCAACGAAAATGAGGTTCAGACTGTAGCACATACTGTGTATGTACTGATGGTACATGAATCGTCAATTATAAGTCGCCCTGATATTGACAACGAAACGCACCGTAGCAAACTGCAAGCTCTTCGCTGCTGCGATATCATCAGTCGAATACTCCATCTAGAAGTCAAAAAATCTGTTCCAAAAACGTAGCACGCGCCTTCTTAGCTCTTATGAATGACCCGACAAGGTAGCAGTGTAAATACTGGGAATCGTCGCGATATAATTCGGCTTGTTGTGGTCGTGATGGAGCGTTTAACCATCATGATTCACTGGATGCACCGGCCATGGAACGACTTGATGAAAGATACAGTTGCACTCCGATGCCCGAGGCAGTAATTTCCCCAAGACTCATGCTGTATTTCAAGGTACATGCATTGTTTTCTTTTTGGTCAAACTACACAATGAACGCGGAACGCACCTAATAAGTAACTATTCCTGTACTCTAGACAAGGGTCTGGGAAAATGGCCGTCTCGATCATGGCATGGCGGCTTGTTTGCCGGTTCAACAGACTATAAAGGTTTGTCGGCATGAATTGAGCTCAAGGCTGTCGTTGTGTTCCCTTTGTGCGTTTTCTCCGAGTCCCTCTCTCTTGCTTGAATCTCCGTTGTCATGGCATAAGTTTGGAGTCTTCTTATTTATTTGTGTAGGAAATGAGAAGAAATGAAGGACGATGGGAGCTCGGATACTATGTCTGAGTTGTTTGGCCATGTTGCTACTAGTACAAGTAGCGCCTAATAAGGAGAAGGAGAGAGAGGTAGCGCTAAGCGGAAGAAGACCAAGCCATACATTAGTATACAGACGCTTTAAGATGGCACTAGTGTCCTTGCATCCGCTTGGACCACACATACGATAGATATATACAATAAAGTACGATAATGCACATCATAGAGCCCCATCTCACAGGACAATAAAAAAGGATACAAAAAATAGACCAAGAACATCTGAATGCTCCTCCCGACCCGCTGCAGACTCATCCTATAAATTAAGCACGAGACGAAGTCTTCTACCGAGCCCACACCAATAACCTTGTGCGGTCCAAGGCTCGCTCCATGAACTTCATTGAAGAAGGAACAGGATAAGACATCATGTTGCGATATTTGCAAATGAAATGTCCGACATTGAAATATGCATGACGGCGTCAGTAGAGCCATGCGGATGTTGGCTCGCCTGCCAGAGATGGAGGTGCATGTGTGTGGCGAGGAATGCATGCATGATAAACTGGAAGCTATACATAGGTTTATATTTTGGGTATTGTTAGTAGGAATTTGGGGCATGATGTGGAGGTACATACTGAAACAACCCAATGTGGTAGGAGTACTGGGACGCAGAGCATTAACGACTTAGTAAAGAAGTATTTGATAGAATCACACACCTGGAGGAGCAGCAATGTGAAGATGTTCCCTATTGAGAACACTTCACGAAACGATATGATCATAGATGAGTACAGAAAAACAGCGCATACAAGTGTTAACTCACGAAGACCGCATGCATAATATGATATGTTATGGTTCAGCAGGACAAGGTACCGACGGCTTTGGTTTTCCTGCCATTTTTGCATGGCGTGTATGAGTGTGAGGATCACGAGTCCTGGGGATAACACCTATGAGCGAATGTTTGTACATATATATACTTCTGGTTACCCACCCAGTTCGAACACGAAAAGGAGAACAAGTGGTATGAAGTACAGGAAACCGGCCGAAATCAGGTAGTACCCCGTGATTCCCGGGATCGCGCTAGTCACATCTGTGAAAGTGAATGTCTTAGTGGTCGTGGAACGCCAGAGGGACAAGTACATGCTGCGGGGATGCAATTGGCGAAGGTAACACCAAAGGATACTATGATAAAAGTCTGGCTGATGCATTTACCACTAGCTTGGGTATGGTAATAGACTAGGAACTCACGAGAAAGGTAGACAGCATGGCCGCGAGCAATATTCTATTTCTGTCCCAGAGCACATATGTTCTCAGGATGAAAAAGCCTGGATGAAACACATCAGAAACACAAATGATATAGGGTAACGAGAGATACATTCAGAGACAATGACTATGACAATGCCCAGACCTGTCAGATGAAAGTAGTAGCCTTTGACAAGGACGTGCATACATGGATGTACCATGCACGTACCTGATCGAACTGTCGACACCACCTGAAATTCCTGACAAAGTCATGCATTAAGTCAGTCGTTCTCATTAACTTTTGACCGCATCACATACATCTATGTTCTCATTGGAGGCAAAGCACACTGAAAAACAAGTATTGATTAATTATCGGGGTGATGTGTCTGGGAGCAGAACGCACGATATAGATTCGTGGCGAGAAGGATGAAGGGGAGGTATCGCGTAACAATATATAGGCTTTTCATCTTGCACCAACGTGATCGAAGCAGAAATGCCCACTTTGCACAGCATATCGTCAATATCAAAACCGAAGAGTATCATAGAACAAGTGTATTACCTCTTCATGAAGTGAGCATGCATAATCATAGATCTGGATAAGCGAGTTTGACAGCGGACATAGATATATGAGAATACGCCTACCCAGAATGCAGCCATCGACGCTGAACTATGTCAGAAGAAAGAATATGGGGTTCAGACAGTACGCACTGAATATGTACTGATGGTGCATGACTTATCAGTTATGATTCGCCCTCGTATTGGCAAAGGAGACACACCGCAGTGAACTGTAAGCTCCTCGCTGCTGCTATGTCTTCAGCCGAATACTCCATCTAGAGGTCAAAAAATGCGTCTCTCACACACACTATGCACCTTCTTAGCTTTTATGGTGAATGAGCCACGGACCCATCAAGATGGCAGTGTAAACATCAGCAGGAGGTCATCATTCGAATTTGAAATCAATGCTTCGATCATGGTCACCGGGTGTTTCAACATCGTGATTTACTGTATGTACTGGCTGGGGAGCAACCTGATGAAAGGGACAGGTGCACCTGGAGTCCGATGCCTGAGGCAGTAGTTTCAGCAATAATCATGCTTTATTCTGAGGCACATACGTTGTTCTGTCTTTGATCAAACTACACGACAAATGCAGAACACACCCGGTGACTCGGACTATATATAACTTACATAGGTTTGGTCAAGATGAAGCGCAAAGATTGATTCGGAAACACACCACATGCCACACTCATTGTACTGGCCTAATTTGTCAAGCGTCCGAGTCTGAAGCTCAAAGTTTCATCCATTATGGTGACTTGAAACGTGAAGACCTCGGAGGGACCTAAAAGAACTTTCAGAACTCTGATTTAAGAGATCAACTGCCCTCCAGGACTAGTACTTACTCGTTCGTCGTTTTTCGGGGTCCTGATTTGAGGTAATTTCTGCAACTTGTTAGCACTGCCCTGTGTTACTTAGTAGGGAGGCTCAACCTCTTCGGATGAACGGATACATCCTGTGGTGACAAAAATGTACTTCGCCTTCAAGTTGGTCCCGAGCGACCTAAGCAGGAACACTCACTTTGACTATTTATTTGTGAAAACCAAACAACGCAAACTGCCCTGAAAAACGCAGCAAACCAACCATAGTACATGCGGACTTTTATCAATAAGCAACAAGGCATATTGAAATACTTCAGTCGCAAACTAATGTAATGTGTCATTGCTTCTACGGCGTGTGCGGAAGGTTGAATCACAGCAAACCCTACTCAACCTCTAAACGACGGTAATGATCCGATAGCAAGACCAAGAAATTACACTTAGTATGCCTGTCCAACGTGGTATATGAATGCGACCAGCCCTTTTTGTTTATTCAATAAAATCTCTTCAAGAACTCGAAGTCGCAAAAGTCAAATCCAGCTTCATACTCGACTCTCAAGACGCACCATTATGGCGTATGCGCCAACGTTAACGCCTTCGCAAATGCGGCCACCCACAACTAGCGCTAGTCGACTACTTCTGCGGAAATTTCATCTGTAAAATTTACAAATAACAGGTTGGACATTGGAACACTCAAGGGGGCGCTAGAGCCGTGTGCGGGTCGGTTCGTCTGCCAGAGATGGAGGTGCATGTGCGTGGCAAGGGTTGCAAGGGTCAGGAATTGGAAACTGCGCGTGAATGTACGTTTTGTGTATTATTAGTAGGAATACACAGTAGGATGTAGAGGTGCATACCCATTCAAAATGGTCTGGTAGGTGTCCTGAGGTGCGGAACATCAACGACTCGATCATAAAAGGTAATTAGGAGATCCACGCACCTGGAGGAGCAGCGACGTGAAG